GGACGTGGATATTGATGTGGACATGGACATGGACGTGGACGTGGACATGGTCGTGGACGTGGACGTGGACGTGGACGTGGACGTGGACATGGACGTGGACGTGGACTGTGGTCATAACGTGGACGTGGACGTGGAGGACTTGGACGTGGACGTGGACATGGACGTGGACGTGGACGTGGACGTGGACGTGGACGTGGACGAGGACGTGGACATGGACGTGGACGTGGACGTGGACGTGGACATGGACGTGGACGTGGACATGGACGTGGACGTGGACGTGGAGTGGACGTGACATGGACGTGGACGTGGACGTGGACATGGACGTGGACGTGGACGTGGACGTGGACATGGACGTGGACGTGGACGTGGACGTGGACATGGACGTGGACGTGGACGTGGACGTAGACGTGGACGTGGACGTGGACGTGCACGTGGACGTGGACATGGACGTGGACATGGACGTGGACGTGGACGTGGAGATGGACGTGGACATGGACGTGGACGTGGACGTGGACATGGACGTGGACGTGGACGTGGACGTGGACATGGGCGTGGACGTGGACGTGGACGTGGACATGGACGTGGACGTGGACGTGGACGTGGACGTGGACGTGGACGTGGACGTGCACGTGGACGTGGACATGGTCGTGGACGTGGACGTGGACGTGGACGTGGACATGGTCGTGGACGTGGACGTGGACGTGGACATGGACGTGGACGTGGACGTGGACGTGGACGTGGACGTGGACATGGACGTGGACGTGGACATGGACGTGACGTGGACGTGGACATGGACGTGGACATGGACGTGAACGTGGACGTGGACATGGACGTGGACGTGGACGTGGACATGGGCGTGGACGTGGACGTGGACGTGGACATGGACGTGGACGTGGACATGGACATGGCGAGGACAAGGACATGGACATGGACTTGGACGTCAACGTGGATGTGGACGTGGACGTGGACATGGTCGTGGATGTGGACGTGGACGTGGACGAGGACATGGACGTGGACGTGGACGTGGACGTGGACATGGACGTGGACGTGGACGTGGACGTGGACGTGGACGTGGACATGGACGTGGACGTGCACGTGGACATGGACGTGGACGTGGAGGACTTGGACGTGGATATTGATGTGGACATGGACATGGACGTGGACGTGGACATGGACGTGGACGTGGACGTGGACGTGGACGTGGACGTGGACATGGACGTGGACGTGGATGTGGACATGAACGTGGACGTGGACGTGGAGGACTTGACGTGGACGTGGACATGGACGTGGACGTGGACGTGGACGTGGACGTGGACGTGGACGAGGACGTGGACATGGACGTGGACGTGGACGTGGACGTGGACATGGACGTGGACGTGGACATGGACGTGGACGTGGACGTGGAGATGGACGTGGACATGGACGTGGACGTGGACGTGGACATGGACGTGGACGTGGACGTGGACGTGGACATGGACGTGGACGTGGACGTGGACGTGGACATGGACGTGGACGTGGACGTGGACGTAGACGACGTGGACGTGGACGTGGACGTGGACGTGGACATGTCGTGGACGTGGACGTGGACGTGGACGTGGACATGGTCGTGGACGTGGACGTGGACGTGGACATGGACGTGGACGTGGACGTGGACATGGACGTGGACGTGGACGTGGAGGACTTGGACGTGGACATGGACATGGACGTGGACGTGACATGACGTGGACGTGGACGTGGACGTGGACGTGGACATGGACGTGACATGGACGTGGACTTGGACGTGGACGTGGACGTGGACATGGACGTGGACGTGGACGTGGACGTGGACGTGGACGTGGACATGGTCGTGGACGTGGACATGGACGTGGACGTGGACATGGTCGTGGATGTGGACGTGGACGTGGACGTGGACGTGGACGTGGACGTAGACATGGACGTGGACGTGGTCGTGGACGTGGACGTGGACGTGGGCCTCGACGTGGACGTGGACGTGGACGTGGACGTGGACGTGGACGTGGACGTGGACGAGGACATGGACGTGGACGTAGACGAGGACATGGACGTGGACGTGGACGTGGACGTGGACGTGGACGTGGAGGTGGAGGTGGACGTGGACGTGGACGTGACGTGGACGTCGACGTGGACGTCAACGTGGACGTGGACGTGGACGTAGACGTGGAAGTGGACGTGGACCGTGGACATGGACATGGACGTGGACGGGACGTGGACGTGGACGTGGACGTAGACGTGGACGTGGACGTGGACGTGGACGTGGACGTAGACGTGGACGTGGACGTTGACGTGCACGTCGACGTGGACATGGTCGTGGACGTGGACGTGGACGTGGACGTGGACGTGGACATGGTCGTGGACGTGGACGTGGACGTGGACGTGGACGTGGACGTGGACGTGGACGTGGATGTGGACGTGGAGGACATGGACGTGGACGTGAACACGGACATGGACGTGGACGTGGACGTGGACGTGGACGTGGACGTGGACGTGGACATGGACGTGGACGTGGACATGGACGTGGACTTTGACGTGGATGTGGACGTGGACGTGGACGTGGACGTGGACGTGGACGTGGACGTGGACATGGACGTAGACGTCGACGTGGACGTGGACGTGGACGTGGACGTCGACGTGGACGTGGACGTGGACGTAGACGTGGAAGTGGACGTGGACGTGGACATGGACATGGACGTGGACGTGGACGTGGACGTAGACGTGGACGTGGACGTGGACGTGGACGTAGACGTGGACGTGGACGTGGACGTGCACGTCGACGTGGACATGGTCGTGGACGTGGACGTGGACGTGGACATGGTCGTGGACGTGGACGTGGACGTGGACGTGGACGTGGACGTGGAGGACATGGACGTGGACGTGAACACGGACGTGGACGTGGACGTGGACGTGGACGTGGACATAGACATGGACGTGGACGTGGACATGGACGTGGACTTGGACGTGGAGGTGGACGTGGACATTGGACGTGGACGTGGACGTGGACGTGGACAGTGGACGTGGACCGTGGACGTGGACGTGGACGTGGACGTGGACGTGGACGTGGATGTGGACGAGGGACATAGACGTGGACGTGGACGTGGTCGTGGACATGGACGTAGACGTGGACATGGACGTCGACATGGACGTGGACATGGACGTGGACGTGGACGTAGACATGGACGTGGACATGGACGTGGACGTGAATGTGGACATGGACGTGGACGTGGACGTGTACATGGACGTGGACATGGACGTGGACGTGGACGTGGACATGGACGTGGACGTGGACGTGGACGTGGTCGTGGACGTGGACATGGGCGTGGACGTGGACGTGGACATGGGCGTGGACGTGGACGTGGACGTCGACGTGGACGTGGACATGCACGTGGACGTGGACGTGGACATGGACGTGGACGTGGACGTGGACGTAAACGTGAACGTGGACGTGGACGTGGACATGGAGGTGGACGTGGACGTAGACGTGGACGAAGGACATGTACATGGACGTGGACGTAGACGAGGACATGGACGTGGACGTGGACGTGGACGTGGACGTGGACATGGACGTGGACGTGGACGTGGACGTGGGCGTGGACATGGACGTGGACGTGGACGTGGACGTGGACGTGGACGTGGGCGTAGACATGGACGTGGACGTGGACGTGGACGTGGTCGTGGACGCGGACGTGGACGTCGACGTGGACGTGGACGTGGACGTGGACGAGGACGTGGACGTGGACGTGGAGGAGGACGTGGATGTGGACGTGGACGTGGACGTGGACGTCGACGTCGACGTGGACGTGGAGGTGGACGTGGACGTGGACGTGGACGTGGACGTGGAGGTGGACTTGGACGTGGACGTGGACGTGGACGTGGACGTGGACGTAGACGTGGACGTGGACATGGACATGGACGTGGAAGTGGACGTGGACGTGGACGTGGACGTGGATGTAGACATGGACGTGGACGTGGACGTGGACGTGGAAGTGGACGTGGACATGGACGTGTACGTGGAAGTGGACGTAGACGTGGACGTGGACGTGGACATGGACGTGGACGTGGACGTGGACGTGGACGTAGACATGGACGTGGACATGGACATGGACGTGGACGTGGACCTGGACGTGGACGTGGACGTGGACGTAGACGTGGACGTGGACGTGGACGTGCACGTGGACGTGGACATGGTCGTGGACGTGGACGTGGACGTGGACGTGGACATGGTCGTGGACGTGGACGTGGACATGGACGTGGACGTGGACATGGACGTGGACCTGGATGTGGACGTGGACATGGACATGGACGTGGACGTGGACATAAACATGGACTTGGACGTCAACGTGGACGTGGACGTGGACGTGGACGTGGACATGGACGTGGACGTGGACTTGGACGTGGACATGGACGTGGACATGGACGTGGACGTGGACGTGGACATGGACGTGGACGTGGACGTGGACGTGGTCGTGGACGTGGACATGGGCGTGGACGTGGACGTGGACGTGGACATGGGCGTGGACGTGGACGTGGACGTCGACGTGGACGTGGACATGGACGTGGACGTGGACGTGGACATGGACGTGGACGTGGACGTGGACGTAAACGTGAACGTGGACGTGGACGTGGACATGGAGGTGGACGTTGATGTAGACGTGGACGAGGACATGGACGTGGACGTGGACGTAGACGAGGACATGGACGTGGACGTGGACGTGGACGTGGACGTGGACATGGACGTAGACGTGGACGTGGACGTGGACGTGGACGTGGACATGGACGTGGACGTGGACGTGGACGTGGACGTGGACGTGGACGTGGACGTGGACGTAGACCTGGACGTGGACGTGGACGTGGACGTGGACGTGGTCGTGGACGCGGACGTGGACATGGACGTGGACGTGGACGTGGACGTGGACGAGGACGTGGACGTGGACGTGAAGGAGGACGTGGACGTGGACGTGGACGTGGACGTGGACGTCGACGTCGACGTGGACGTGGAGGTGGACGTGGACGTGGACGTGGACGTGGAGGTGGACTTGGACGTGGACGTGGACGTGGACGTGGACGTGGACGTGGACGTAGACGTGGACGTGGACATGGACATGGACGTGGAAGTGGACGTGGACGTGGACGTGGACGTAGACATGGACGTGGACGTGGACGTGGACGTGGAAGTGGACGTGGACATGGACGTGGACGTGGACGTGGACGTAGACGTGGACGTGGACGTGGACATGGACGTGGACGTGGACGTGGACGTGGACGTGGACGTAGACATGGACGTGGACATGGACATGGACGTGGACGTGGACCTGGACGTGGACGTGGACGTGGACGTAGACGTGGACGTAGACGTGGACGTGCACGTGGACGTGGACATGGTCGTGGACGTGGACGTGGACGTGGACGTGGACATGGTCGTGGACGTGGACGTGGACGTGGACGTGGACATGGACGTGGACGTGGACGTGGACGTGGACATGGACGTGGACGTGGACGTGGACATGGACGTGGACGTGGACGTGGACGTGGACATGGACGTGGACGTGGACGTGGACGTGGACGTAGACATGGACATGGATATGGACGTGGACGTGGACATGGACGTAGACGTGGACGTGGACGTAGACGTGGACGTGGACGTGGACGTGGACGTGGACGTGGACGTAGACGTGGACGTGGACGTGGAGGTGGACGTGGACGTGGACGTGGACATGGACGTGGACGTGCACGTGGACATGGACGTAGACGTGGAGGACTTGGACGTGGATATTGATGTGGACATGGACATGGACGTGGACGTGGACATGGTCGTGGACGTGGACGTGGACGTGGACGTGGACGTGGACGTGGACATGGACGTGGACGTGGATGTGGTCATGAACGTGGACGTGGACGTGGAGGACTTGGACGTGGACGTGGACATGGACGTGGACGTGGACGTGGACGTGGACGTGGACGTGGACGAGGACGTGGACATGGACGTGGACGTGGACGTGGACGTGGACATGGACGTGGACGTGGACATGGACGTGGACGTGGACGTGGAGATGGACGTGGACATGGACGTGGACGTGGACGTGGACATGGACGTGGACGTGGACGTGGACGTGGACATGGGCGTGGACGTGGACGTGGACGTGGACATGGACGTGGATGTAGACATGGACGTGGACGTGGACGTGGACGTGGAAGTGGACGTGGACATGGACGTGTACGTGGAAGTGGACGTAGACGTGGACGTGGACGTGGACATGGACGTGGACGTGGACGTGGACGTGGACGTAGACATGGACGTGGACATGGACATGGACGTGGACGTGGACCTGGACGTGGACGTGGACGTGGACGTAGACGTGGACGTGGACGTGGACGTGCACGTGGACGTGGACATGGTCGTGGACGTGGACGTGGACGTGGACGTGGACATGGTCGTGGACGTGGACGTGGACATGGACGTGGACGTGGACATGGACGTGGACCTGGATGTGGACGTGGACATGGACATGGACGTGGACGTGGACATAAACATGGACTTGGACGTCAACGTGGACGTGGACGTGGACGTGGACGTGGACATGGACGTGGACGTGGACTTGGACGTGGACATGGACGTGGACATGGACGTGGACGTGGACGTGGACATGGACGTGGACGTGGACGTGGACGTGGTCGTGGACGTGGACATGGGCGTGGACGTGGACGTGGACGTGGACATGGGCGTGGACGTGGACGTGGACGTCGACGTGGACGTGGACATGGACGTGGACGTGGACGTGGACATGGACGTGGACGTGGACGTGGACGTAAACGTGAACGTGGACGTGGACGTGGACATGGAGGTGGACGTTGATGTAGACGTGGACGAGGACATGGACGTGGACGTGGACGTAGACGAGGACATGGACGTGGACGTGGACGTGGACGTGGACGTGGACATGGACGTAGACGTGGACGTGGACGTGGACGTGGACGTGGACATGGACGTGGACGTGGACGTGGACGTGGACGTGGACGTGGACGTGGACGTGGACGTAGACCTGGACGTGGACGTGGACGTGGACGTGGACGTGGTCGTGGACGCGGACGTGGACATGGACGTGGACGTGGACGTGGACGTGGACGAGGACGTGGACGTGGACGTGAAGGAGGACGTGGACGTGGACGTGGACGTGGACGTGGACGTCGACGTCGACGTGGACGTGGAGGTGGACGTGGACGTGGACGTGGACGTGGAGGTGGACTTGGACGTGGACGTGGACGTGGACGTGGACGTGGACGTGGACGTAGACGTGGACGTGGACATGGACATGGACGTGGAAGTGGACGTGGACGTGGACGTGGACGTAGACATGGACGTGGACGTGGACGTGGACGTGGAAGTGGACGTGGACATGGACGTGGACGTGGACGTGGACGTAGACGTGGACGTGGACGTGGACATGGACGTGGACGTGGACGTGGACGTGGACGTGGACGTAGACATGGACGTGGACATGGACATGGACGTGGACGTGGACCTGGACGTGGACGTGGACGTGGACGTAGACGTGGACGTAGACGTGGACGTGCACGTGGACGTGGACATGGTCGTGGACGTGGACGTGGACGTGGACGTGGACATGGTCGTGGACGTGGACGTGGACGTGGACGTGGACATGGACGTGGACGTGGACGTGGACGTGGACATGGACGTGGACGTGGACGTGGACATGGACGTGGACGTGGACGTGGACGTGGACATGGACGTGGACGTGGACGTGGACGTGGACGTAGACATGGACATGGATATGGACGTGGACGTGGACATGGACGTAGACGTGGACGTGGACGTAGACGTGGACGTGGACGTGGACGTGGACGTGGACGTGGACGTAGACGTGGACGTGGACGTGGAGGTGGACGTGGACGTGGACGTGGACATGGACGTGGACGTGCACGTGGACATGGACGTAGACGTGGAGGACTTGGACGTGGATATTGATGTGGACATGGACATGGACGTGGACGTGGACATGGTCGTGGACGTGGACGTGGACGTGGACGTGGACGTGGACATGGACGTGGACGTGGATGTGGTCATGAACGTGGACGTGGACGTGGAGGACTTGGACGTGGACGTGGACATGGACGTGGACGTGGACGTGGACGTGGACGTGGACGTGGACGAGGACGTGGACATGGACGTGGACGTGGACGTGGACGTGGACATGGACGTGGACGTGGACATGGACGTGGACGTGGACGTGGAGATGGACGTGGACATGGACGTGGACGTGGACGTGGACATGGACGTGGACGTGGACGTGGACGTGGACATGGGCGTGGACGTGGACGTGGACGTGGACATGGACGTGGACGTGGACATGGACGTAGACGTGGACGTGGACGTGGACGTGCACGTGGACGTGGACATGGTCGTGGACGTGGACGTGGACGTGGACGTGGACATGGTCGTGGACGTGGACGTGGACGTGGACATGGACGTGGACGTGGACGTGGACATGGATGTCGACGTGGACGTGGAGGACTTGGACGTGGACATGGACGTGGACATGGACGTGGACATGGACGTGGACGTGAACATGGACGTGGACGTGGACGTGGACGTGGACGTGGACATGGACGTCGACATGGACGTGGACTTGGACGTGGACGTGGACGTGGACATGGACGTGGACGTGGACGTGGACGTGGACGTGGACGTGGACATGGTCGTGGACGTGGACGTGGACGTGGACGTGGACATGGTCGTGGATGTGGACGTGGACGTGGACGTGGACGTGGACGTGGACGTAGACATGGACGGTGGACGTGGTCGTGGACGTGGACGTGGACGTGGGCCTCGACGTGGACGTGGGCGTGGACGTGGACGTGGACGTGGACGTGGACGTGGACGAGGACATGGACGTGGACGTAGACGAGGACATGGACGTGGACGTGGACGTGGACGTGGACGTGGACGTGGAGGTGGACGTGGACGTGGACGTGGACGTGGACGTGGACGTGGACGTCAACGTGGACGTGGACGTGGACGTAGACGTGGAAGTGGACGTGGACGTGGACATGGACATGGACGTGGACGTGGACGTGGACGTGGACGTGGACGTAGACGTGGACGTGGACGTGGACGTGGACGTGGACGTAGACGTGGACGTGGACGTTGACGTGCACGTCGACGTGGACATGGTCGTGGACGTGGACGTGGACGTGGACGTGGACGTGGACATGGTCGTGGACGTGGACGTGGACGTGGACGTGGACGTGGACGTGGACGTGGATGTGGACGTGGAGGACATGGACGTGGACGTGAACACGGACATGGACGTGGACGTGGACGTGGACGTGGACGTGGACGTGGACATAGACATGGACGTGGACGTGGACATGGACGTGGACTTTGACGTGGATGTGGACGTGGACGTGGACGTGGACGTGGACGTGGACGTGGACATGGACGTAGACGTCGACGTGGACGTGGACGTGGACGTGGACGTCGACGTGGACGTGGACGTGGACGTAGACGTGGAAGTGGACGTGGACGTGGACATGGACATGGACGTGGACTTGGACGTGGACGTAGACGTGGACGTGGACGTGGACGTGGACGTAGACGTGGACGTGGACGTGGACGTGCACGTCGACGTGGACATGGTCGTGGACGTGGACGTGGACGTGGACATGGTCGTGGACGTGGACGTGGACGTGGACGTGGACGTGGACGTGGAGGACATGGACGTGGACGTGAACACGGACGTGGACGTGGACGTGGACGTGGACGTGGACATAGACATGGACGTGGACGTGGACATGGACGTGGACTTGGACGTGGAGGTGGACGTGGACATGGACGTGGACGTGGACGTGGACGTGGACATGGACGTGGACGTGGACGTGGACGTGGACGTGGACGTGGACGTGGATGTGGACGAGGACATAGACGTGGACGTGGACGTGGTCGTGGACATGGACGTAGACGTGGACATGGACGTCGACATGGACGTGGACATGGACGTGGACGTGGACGTAGACGTAGATATGGACGTGGACGTGGACATGGACGTGGACATGGACGTGGTCGTGAATGTGGACATGGACGTGGACGTGGACGTGTACATGGACGTGGACATGGACGTGGACGTGGACCTGGACATGGACGTGGACATGGTCGTGGATGTGGACGTGGACGTGGACGTGGACGAGGACATGGACGTGGACGTGGACGTGGACGTGGACGTGGACATGGACGTGGACGTGCACGTGGACATGGACGTAGACGTGGACGTAGAGGACTTGGACGTGGATATGAATGTGGACATGGACGTGGACGTGGACGTGGACATGGTCGTAGACGTGGACGTGGACATGGACGTGGACGTCGACGTGGTCGTGGACGTGGACGTGGACGTAGAGGACTTGGATGTGGACGTGGACTTGGACGTGGACGTGGACGTGGACGTGGACATGGACGTGGACGTGGACATGGACGTGGACATGGACGTGGACGTGGACATGGACATGGACGTGGACGTGGACATAAACATGGACTTGGACGTCAACGTGGACGTGGACGTGGACGTGGACGTGGACATGGACGTGGACGTGGACGTGGACGTGGACATGGACGTGGACATGGACGTGGACGTGGACGTGGACATGGACGTGGACGTGGACGTGGACGTGGTCGTGGACGTGGACATGGGCGTGGACGTGGACGTGGACATGGGCGTGGACGTGGACGTGGACGTCGACGTGGACGTGGACATGCACGTGGACGTGGACGTGGACATGGACGTGGACGTGGACGTGGACGTAAACGTGAACGTGGACGTGGACGTGGACATGGAGGTGGACGTGGACGTAGACGTGGACGAGGACATGGACGTGGACGTGGACGTAGACGAGGACATGGACGTGGACGTGGACGTGGACGTGGACGTGGACATGGACGTGGACGTGGACGTGGACGTGGGCGTGGACATGGACGTGGACGTGGACGTGGACGTGGACGTGGACGTGGGCGTAGACATGGACGTGGACGTGGACGTGGACGTGGTCGTGGACGCGGACGTGGACGTCGACGTGGACGTGGACGTGGACGTGGACGAGGACGTGGACGTGGACGTGGAGGAGGACGTGGATGTGGACGTGGACGTGGACGTGGACGTCGACGTCGACGTGGACGTGGAGGTGGACGTGGACGTGGACGTGGACGTGGACGTGGAGGTGGACTTGGACGTGGACGTGGACGTGGACGTGGACGTGGACGTAGACGTGGACGTGGACATGGACATGGACGTGGAAGTGGACGTGGACGTGGACGTGGACGTGGATGTAGACATGGACGTGGACGTGGACGTGGACGTGGAAGTGGACGTGGACATGGACGTGTACGTGGAAGTGGACGTAGACGTGGACGTGGACGTGGACATGGACGTGGACGTGGACGTGGACGTGGACGTAGACATGGACGTGGACATGGACATGGACGTGGACGTGGACCTGGACGTGGACGTGGACGTGGACGTAGACGTGGACGTGGACGTGGACGTGCACGTGGACGTGGACATGGTCGTGGACGTGGACGTGGACGTGGACGTGGACATGGTCGTGGACGTGGACGTGGACATGGACGTGGACGTGGACATGGACGTGGACCTGGATGTGGACGTGGACATGGACATGGACGTGGACGTGGACATAAACATGGACTTGGACGTCAACGTGGACGTGGACGTGGACGTGGACGTGGACGTGGACATGGACGTGGACGTGGACTTGGACGTGGACATGGACGTGGACATGGACGTGGACGTGGACGTGGACATGGACGTGGACGTGGACGTGGACGTGGTCGTGGACGTGGACATGGGCGTGGACGTGGACGTGGACATGGGCGTGGACGTGGACGTGGACGTCGACGTGGACGTGGACATGGACGTGGACGTGGACGTGGACGTGGACGTGGACGTGGACATGGACGTGGACGTGGACGTGGACGTAAACGTGAACGTGGACGTGGACGTGGACATGGAGGTGGACGTTGATGTAGACGTGGACGAGGACATGGACGTGGACGTGGACGTAGACGAGGACATGGACGTGGACGTGGACGTGGACGTGGACGTGGACATGGACGTAGACGTGGACGTGGACGTGGACGTGGACGTGGACATGGACGTGGACGTGGACGTGGACGTGGACGTGGACGTGGACGTGGACGTGGACGTGGACGTAGACCTGGACGTGGACGTGGACGTGGACGTGGACGTGGTCGTGGACGCAGACGTGGACATGGACGTGGACGTGGACGTGGACGTGGACGAGGACGTGGACGTGGACGTGGAGGAGGACGTGGACGTGGACGTGGACGTGGACGTGGACGTCGACGTCGACGTGGACGTGGAGGTGGACGTGGACGTGGACGTGGACGTGGAGGTGGACTTGGACGTGGACGTGGACGTGGACGTGGACGTGGACGTGGACGTAGACGTGGACGTGGACATGGACATGGACGTGGAAGTGGACGTGGACGTGGACGTGGACGTAGACATGGACGTGGACGTGGACGTGGACGTGGAAGTGGACGTGGACATGGACGTGGACGTGGACGTGGACGTAGACGTGGACGTGGACGTGGACATGGACGTGGACGTGGACGTGGACGTGGACGTAGACATGGACGTGGACATGGACATGGACGTGGACGTGGACCTGGACGTGGACGTGGACGTGGACGTAGACGTGGACGTGGACGTGCACGTGGACGTGGACATGGTCGTGGACGTGGACGTGGACGTGGACGTGGACATGGTCGTGGACGTGGACGTGGACGTGGACGTGGACATGGACGTGGACGTGGACGTGGACGTGGACATGGACGTGGACGTGGACGTGGACATGGACGTGGACGTGGACGTGGACATGGACGTGGACGTGGACGTGGACGTGGACGTAGACATGGACATGGATATGGACGTGGACGTGGACATGGACGTGGACGTGGACGTGGACGTAGACGTGGACGTGGACGTGGACGTGCACGTGGACGTGGACATGGTCGTGGACGTGGACGTGGACGTGGACGTGGACGTGGACGTGGACATGGTCGTGGACGTGGACGTGGAGGACTTGGACGTGGACATGGACATGGACGTGGACGTGAACATGGACGTGGACGTGGACGTGGACGTGGACATAGATATGGACGTGGACGTGGACATGGACGTGGACTTGGACGTGGACGTGGACGTGGACATGGACGTGGACGTGGACGTAGACGTGGACGTAGACGTGGACGTGGACGTGGACGTGGTCGTGGACGTGGACGTGGACGTGGACGTGGACGTGGTCGTGGACGTGGACGTGGACGTGGACGTGGACGTGGACGTGGACATGGACGTGGACGTTGACGTGGACGTGGACGTGGACGTAGACGTGGACGAGGACATGGACGTGGACGTGGAGGTGGACGTGGACATGGACATGGACGTGGACGTGGACGTGGACGTGGACATGGACGTGGACGTGGACGTGGACGTGGACGTGGACGTGGACGTAGTCATGGACGTGGACATGGACATGGATGTGGACGTGGACATGGACGTGGACGTGGACGTGGACGTAGACGTGGACGTGGACGTGCACGTGGACGTGGACATGGTCGTGGACGTGGACGTGGACGTGGACGTGGACGTGGACATGGTCGTGGACGTGGACGTGGACGTGGACGTGGACATGGACGTGGACGTGGACGTGGACATGGACGTGGACGTGGAGGTGGAGGACTTGGACGTGGACATGGACATGAACGTGGACGTGAACATGGACGTTGACGTGGACGTGGACGTGGACGTAGACATAGACGTGGACGTGGACGTGGACATGGACGTGGACTTGGACGTGGACGTGGACGTGTACATGGACGTGGACGTGGACGTAAACGTGGACGTGGACGTGGACGTGGACGTGGACGTGGTCGTGGACGTGGACGTGGACGTGGACGTGGACATGGTCGTGGACGTGGACGTGGACGTGGACATGGACGTGGACATGGACGTGGACGTGGACGTGGACGGGGACATGGACGTGGACGTGGACGTGGACGTGGACATGGACGTGGACATGGACGTGGACGTGGACGTGGACCTGGACGTGGACGAGGACATAGACGTGGACGTGGACGTGGACGTGGACGTGGACATGGACGTAGACGTGGACATGGACGTCAACATGGACGTGGACATGGACGTGGACGTGGACGTAGACGTGGATATGGACGTGGACGTGGACATGGACGTGGACATGGACGTGGTCTTGAATGTGGACATGGACGTGGACGTGGACGTGTACGTGGACGTGGACATGGACGTGGACGTGGACGTGGACATGGACGTGGACGTGGACGTGGACGTGGACATGGACGTGGACGTGGACGTGGACGTGGACATGGACATGGACGTGGACGTGGACGTGGACGTGGACGAGGACATAGACGTGGACGTGGACGTGGACGTGGACATGGACGTAGACGTGGACATGGACGTGGACGTGGACGTGGACATGGACATGGACGTGGACGTAGACGTGGACGTGGACATGGACGTGGTCGTGAATGTGGACGTGGACGAGGACATAGACGTGGACGTGGACGTGGACGTAGACGTGGACGTGGACGTGGACGTGGACGTAGACATGGACGTGGACATGGACGTGGACATGGACGTGGACATGGACGTGGACGTGGACGTGGACGTGGACATGGACGTGGACATGGACGTGGAGGACTTGGACGTGGACATGGACATGGACGTGGACGTGAACATGGACGTGGACGTGGACGTGGACGTGGACATAGACGTGGACGTGGACGTGGACATGGACGTGGACTTGGACGTGGACGTGGACGTGGACATGGTCGTGGACGTGGACGTGGACGTGGACGTGGACGTGGACGTGGTCGTGGACGTGGACGTGGACGTGGACGTGGACGTGGACATGGACGTGGACGTGGACGTTGACGTGGACGTGGACGTGGACGTGGACATGGACGTGGACGTAGACGTGGACGTGGACGTGGAGGTGGACGTGGACATGGACGTGGACGTGGACGTGGACGTGGACGTGGACGTAGACATGGACGTGGACGTGGACGTGGACGTGGACGTAGACATGGACATGGACATGGACATGGACGTGGACGTGGACATGGACGTGGACGTGGACGTGGCATGGACGTGGACGTGGACGTGGACGTGGACATGGTCGTGGACGTGGACGTGGACGTGGACATGGACGTGGACGTGGACGTGGACATGGTCGTGGACTTGGACGTGGACGTGGACGTGGACATGGACGAAGACGTGGACGTGGACATGGACGTGGACGTGGACGTGGTCGACTTGGACGTGGACATGGACATGGACGTGGACGTGAACATGGACGTGGACGTGGACGTGGACGTGGACATAGACGTGGACGTGGACGTGGACATGGACGTGGACTTGGACGTGGACGTGGACATGGACGTGGACGTGGACGTAGACGTGGACGTGGACGTGGACGTGGACGTGGACATGGTCGTGGACGTGGACGTGGACGTGGACGTGGACATGGTCATGGACGTGGACGTGGACGTGGACGTGGACGTGGACATGGACGTGGACGTGGACGTGGACATGGACGTTGACGTGGACGTGGACGTGGACGTGGACATGGACGTGGACGTGGACGTAGACGTGGACGTGGACATGGACGTGGATGTGGACGTGGACGTGGACGTGGACGAGGACATAGACGTGGACCGGGACGTGGACGTGGACGTGGACATGGACGTAGACGTGGACATGGACGTCGACATGGACGTGGACATGGACGTGGACGTGGACGTAGACGTGGATATGGACGTGGACGTGGACATGGACGTGGACATGGACGTGGTCGTGAATGTGGACATGGACGTGGACGTGGACGTGTACGTGGACGTGGACATGGACGTGGAGGTGGACGTGGACGTGGACGTGGACGTGGACGTGGACGTGGATGTGGACGTGGACGTGGACGTGGACATGGACGTGGACGTGGACGTGGACGTGGACGTGGACAAGGACATAGACGTGGACGTGGACGTGGACGTGGACGTGGACATGGACGTACACGTGGACATGGACGTGGACGTGGACGTGGACATGGACGTGGACGTGGACGTAGACGTGGACGTGGACATCGACGTGGTCGTGAATGTGGACGTGGACGAGGACATAGACGTGGACGTGGACGTGGACGTGGACGTAGACGTGGACGTGGACGTGGACGTGGACGTAGACATGGACGTGGACATGGACATGGACGTGGACGTGGACGTGGACGTGGACATGGACGTGGACGTGGACGTGGACGTGGACGTGGACGAGGAGATAGACGTGGACGTGGACGTGGACGTGGACGTGGACATGGACGTAGACGTGGACATGGACGTGGACATAGACGTGGACATGTACGTGGACGTGGACGTAGACGTGGATATGGACGTGGACGTGGACATGGACGTGGACATGGACGTGGTCGTGAATGTGGACATGGACGTGGACGTGGACGTGTACGTGGATGGGACATAGACGTGGACGTGGACGTGGACGTGGACATGGACGTGGACGTGGACGTGGACGTGGACGAGGACATGGACGTGGACGTGGACATGGACGAGGACATAGACGTGGACGTGGACGTGGACGTGGACGTAGACATGGACGTGGACGTGGACGTAGACATGGACGTGGACATGGACGTGGACGTGGACGTAGACGTGGACGTGGACGTGGACGTGGACGTGGACGTGCACGTGGACGTGGACATGGTCGTGGACGTGGACGTGGAGGTGGACATGGTCGTGGACGTGGACGTGGACGTGGACGTGGACGTGGACATGGACGTAGACGTGGACGTGGAGGACTTGGAGGTGGACATGGACATGGACGTGGACGTGAACATGGACGTGGACGTGGACGTGGACGTGGACGTGGACGTGGACATAGACGTGGACGTGGACGTGGACATGGACGTGGACGTGGACGTGGACGTGGACGTGGACATGGTCGTGGACGTGGACGTGGACGTAGACGTGGACATGGACATGGACGTGGACGTGGACATGGACGTGGACGTGGACGTGGACGTGGACGTGGACATGGTCGTGGACGTGGACGTGGACGTGGACATGGACGTGGACATGGACATGGACGTGGACGTGGACATGGACGTGGACGTGGACGTGGACGTGGACGTGGACGTGGACGTGGACATGGTCGTGGACGTGGACGTGGACATGGATGTGGACATGGACGTGGACGTGGACGTGGACATGGTCGTGGACGTGGACGTGGACGTGGACGTGGACATGGACGTGGACGTGGACGTGGACATGGACGTGGACGTGGACGTGGAGGACTTGGACGTGGACATGGACATGGACGTGGACGTGAACATGGACGTGGACGTGGACGTGGACATAGACGTGGACGTGGACGTGGACATGGACGTGGACTTGGACGTGGACATGGACGTGGACATGGACGTGGACGTGGACGTGGACGTAGATGTGGACGTGGACGTGGACGTGGACGTGGACGTGGACATGGTCGTGGACGTGGACGTGGACGTGGACGTGGACGTGGACACGGTCGTGGACGTGGACGTGGACGTGGACGTGGACGTGGACATGGACGTGGACGTGGACGTGGACGTGGACATGGACGTGGACGTGGACGTGGCATGGACGTGGACGTGGACGTGGACATAGACGTGGACGTGGACGTGGACGTGGACATGGACGTGGACGTGGACGTGGACGTGGACGAGAACATAGACGTGGACGTGGACGTGGACGTGGACGTGGACATGGACGTAGACGTTGACATGGACGTCGACATGGACGTGGACATGGACGTGGACGTGGACGTAGACGTGGATATGGACGTGGACGTGGACATGGACGTGGACATGGACGTGGTCGTGAATGTGGACATGGACGTGGACGTGGACGTGTACGTGGACGTGGACATAGACGTGGACGTGGACGTGGACATGGACGTGGACGTGGACGTGGAGGACTTGGACGTGGACGTGGACATGGACGTGGACGTGAACATGGACGTGGACGTGGACATGGACGTGGACGTAGACATGGACGTGGACGTGGACGTCGAGGACTTGGACGTGGACATGGACATGGACGTGGACGTAAACATGGACGTGGACGTGGACGTGGACGTGGCATGGACGTGGACATAGACTTGGACGTGGACGTGGACATGGACGTGTACTTGGACGTGGACGTGGACGTGGACATGGACGTGGACGTGGACGTAGACGTGGACGTGGACGTGGACGTGGACGTGGACGTGGACATGGACGTGGACGTGGACGTGGACGTGGACGTGGACATGGTCGTGGACGTGGACGTGGACGTGGACATGGACGTGGACATGGACATGGACGTGGACGTGGACATGGACGTGGACGTGGACGTGGACGTGGACGTGGACGTGGACGTGGACGTGGACATGGTCGTGGACGTGGACGTGGACATGGATGTGGACATGGACGTGGACGTGGACGTGGACATGGTCGTGGACGTGGACGTGGACGTGGACGTGGACATGGACGTGGACGTGGACGTGGACATGGACGTGGACGTGGACGTGGAGGACTTGGACGTGGACATGGACATGGACGTGGACGTGAACATGGACGTGGACGTGGACGTGGACATAGACGTGGACGTGGACGTGGACATGGACGTGGACTTGGACGTGGACATGGACGTGGACATGGACGTGGACGTGGACGTGGACGTAGATGTGGACGTGGACGTGGACGTGGACGTGGACGTGGACATGGTCGTGGACGTGGACGTGGACGTGGACGTGGACGTGGACACGGTCGTGGACGTGGACGTGGACGTGGACGTGGACGTGGACATGGACGTGGACGTGGACGTGGACGTGGACATGGACGTGGACGTGGACGTGGCATGGACGTGGACGTGGACGTGGACATAGACGTGGACGTGGACGTGGACGTGGACATGGACGTGGACGTGGACGTGGACGTGGACGAGAACATAGACGTGGACGTGGACGTGGACGTGGACGTGGACATGGACGTAGACGTTGACATGGACGTCGACATGGACGTGGACATGGACGTGGACGTGGACGTAGACGTGGATATGGACGTGGACGTGGACATGGACGTGGACATGGACGTGGTCGTGAATGTGGACATGGACGTGGACGTGGACGTGGACGTGTACGTGGACGTGGACATAGACGTGGACGTGGACGTGGACATGGACGTGGACGTGGACGTGGAGGACTTGGACGTGGACGTGGACATGGACGTGGACGTGAACATGGATGTGGACGTGGACATGGACGTGGACGTAGACATGGACGTGGACGTGGACGTGGAGGACTTGGACGTGGACATGGACATGGACGTGGACGTAAACATGGACGTGGACGTGGACGTGGACGTGGCATGGACGTGGACATAGACTTGGACGTGGACGTGGACATGGACGTGTACTTGGACGTGGACGTGGACGTGGACATGGACGTGGACGTGGACGTAGACGTGGACGTGGACGTGGACGTGGACGTGGACGTGGACATGGTCGTGGACGTGGACGTGGACGTGGACGTGGACATGGTCGTGGACGTGGACGTGGACGTGGACGTGGACGTGGACATGGACGTGGACGTGGACGTGGACGTGGACATGGACGTGGACGTGGACGTGGACGTGGACGTGGACATGGACGTGGACGTGGACGTGGACGTGGACATGGACGTGGACGTGGACGTGGACGTGGACGTGGACGTGGACGAGGACATAGACGTGGACGGGGACGTGGACGTGGACGTGGACATGGACGTAGACGTGGACGTGGACGTGGACGTCGACATGGACGTGGACATGGACGTGGACGTGGACGTAGACGTGGATATGGACGTGGACGTGGACATGGACGTGGACATGGACGTGGTCGTGAATGTGGACATGGACGTGGACGTGGACGTATACGTGGACGTGGACATGGACGTGGACGTGGAGGTGGACGTGGACGTGGACGTGGACGTGGACGTGGATGTGGACGTGGACGTGGACGTGGACATGGACGTGGACGTGGACGTGGACGTGGACGTGGACGTGGACAAGGACATAGACGTGGACGTGGACGTGGACGTCGACGTCGACATGGACGTAGACGTGGACATGGACGTGGACGTGGACGTGGACATGGACGTGGACGTGGACGTAGACGTGGACGTGGACATCGACGTGGTCGTGAATGTGGACGTGGACGAGGACATAGACGTGGACATGGACGTTGACGTGGACGTAGACGTGGACGTGGACGTGGACGTGGACGTAGACATGGACGTGGACATGGACATGGACGTGGACGTGGACGTGGACGTGGACATGGACGTGGACGTGGACGTGGACGTGGACGTGGACGAGGACATAGACGTGGACGTGGACGTGGACGTGGACGTGGACATGGACGTAGACGTGGACATGGACGTCGACATGGACGTGGACATGTACGTGGACGTGGACGTAGACGTGGATATGGACGTGGACGTGGACATGGACGTGGACATGGACGTGGTCGTGAATGTGGATATGGACGTGGACGTGGACGTGTACGTGGATGGGACATAGACGTGGACGTGGACGTGGACGTGGACATGGACGTGGACGTGGACGTGGACGTGGACGAGGACATGGACGTGGACGTGGACGTGGACGTGGACGTGGACGTGGACGTAGACATGGACGTGGACGTGGACGTAGACATGGACGTGGACATGGACGTGGACGTGGACGTGGACGTGGACGTGGACGTGGACGTGCACGTAGACATGGACGTGGACGTAGACATGGACGTGGACGTGGACGTAGACATGGACGTGGACATGGACATGGACGTGGACGTGGACGTGGACGTGGACGTGGACATGGACGTGGACGTGGACGTGGACGTGGACGTGGACGTAGACATGGACGTGGACGTGGACGTAGACATGGACGTGGACATGGACGTGGACGTGGACGTAGACGTAGACGTGGACGTGGACGTGGACGTGGACGTGCACGTGGACGTGGACATGGTCGTGGACGTGGACGTGGACGTGGAGGTGGACGTGGACATGGTCGTGGACGTGGACGTGTACGTGGACGTGGACGTGGACGTGGACGTGGACATGGACGTGGACGTGGACGTGGAGGTATTGGAGGTGGACATGGACATGGACGTGGACTTGAACATGGACGTGGACGTGGACGTGGACGTGGACATAGACGTGGACGTGGACGTGGACATGGACGTGGACTTGGACGTGGACGTGGACGTGGACATGGACGTGGACGTGGACGTGGACGTAGACGTGGACGTGGACGTGGACGTGGACGTGGACGTGGACATGGTCGTGGATGTGGACGTGGACATGGACGTGGACATGGTCGTGGACGTGGACGTGGACGTGGACGTGGACGTGGACATGGACGTGGACATGGACGTGGACGTGGACATGGACGTGGACGTGGACGTGGACGTGGACGTGGACGTGGACATGGACGTGGACGTGGACGTGGACGTGGACATGGACGTGGACATGGACGTGGACGTGGACGTGGACGTGGACGAGGACATAGACGTGGACGTGGACGTGGACGTGGACGTGGACGTGGACGTCGACATGGACGTGGACATGGACGTGGACGTGGACGTGGACGTGGACGTGGACGTGGACATGGACATGGACGTGGACGTGGAGGACTTGGAGGTGGACATGGACATGGACGTGGACGTGAACATGGACGTGGACGTGGACGTGGACATAGACGTGGACGTGGACGTGGACGTGGACATGGACGTGGACTTGGACGTGGACGTGGACGTGGACATGGACGTGGACGTGGACGTGGACGTAGACGTGGACGTGGATGTGGACGTGGACGTGGACGTGGACATGGTCGTGGACGTGGACGTGGACGTGGACGTGGACATGGTCGTGGACGTAGACGTGGACGTGGACGTGGACATGGACGTGGACATGGACGTGGACGTGGACATGGACGTGGACGTGGACGTGGACGTGGACGTGGACGTGGACATGGACGTGGACGTGGACGTGGACGTGGACGTGGACATGGACGTGGACATGGACGTGGACGTGGACGTGGACGTGGACGAGGACATAGACGTGGACGTGGACGTGGACGTAGACTTGGACGTGGACGTGGACGTGGACGTCGACATGGACGTGGACATGGACGTGGACGTGCACGTGGACGTGGATATGGACGTGGACGTGGACGTGGACGTGGACGTGGTCGTGGACGTAGACGTGGACGTGGACGTGGACGTGGAGGACTTGGACGTGGACATGGTCGTGGACGTGGACGTGAACGTGGACGTGGACGTGAACGTAGACGTGGACATGGTCGTGGACGTGGACGTGATCGTGGACATGGACGTGGACGTGAACGTAGACGTGGACGTGGACATGGTCGTGGACGTGGACGTGGACGTGGACATGGACGTGGACGTGGACGTGGACATGGACGTGGACGTGGACGTGGAGGACTTGGACGTAGACATGGACATGGACGTGGACGTGAACATGGACGTGGACGTGGACGTGGACATAGACGTGGACGTGGACGTGGACATGGACGTAGACTTGGACGTGGACGTGGACGTGGACATGGACGTGGACGTGGACGTGGACGTAGACGTGGACGTGGACGTGGACGTGGACGTGGACATGGTGGTGGACGTGGATGTGGACGTGGACGTGGACATGGTCGTGGACGTGGACGTGGACGTGGGCGTGGACGTGGACATGGACGTGGACGTGGACGTGGACGTGGACATGGACGTGGACGTGGACGTGGACGTGGACGTTGACATGGACGTGGACGTGGACGTGGATGTGGACATGGACGTGGACGTGGACGTGGACGTGGACGTGGATGAGGACATAGACGTGGACGAGGACGTGGACGTGGACGTGGACATGGACGTAGACGTGGACATGGACGTCGACATGGACGTGGACATGGACGTGGACGTGGACGTGGACGTGGATATGGACGTGGACGTGGACGTGGACGTGGTCGTGGACGTAGACGTGGACGTGGACGTGGACGTCGACATGGTCGTGGACGTGGATGTGGACGTGGACATGGTCGTGGACGTGGACGTGGACGTGGACATGGACATGGACGTGGACGTGGACGTGGACGTGGACATGGACGTGGACGTGGACGTGGATGTGGACGTGGACGTGTACGTGGACATGGACGTTGACGTGGACGTGGACGTGGACGTGGACATGGACGTGGACATGGACGTGGACGTGGATGTGGACGTGGACGAGGACATAGACGTGGACGTGGACGTGGACGTGGACGTGGACGTCGACATGGACGTGGACATGGACGTGGACGTGGACGTGGACGTGGATATGGACGTGGACGTGGACGTGGTCGTGGACGTAGACGTGGACGTGGACGTGGAGGACTTGGACGTGGACATGGTCGTGGACGTGGACGTGAACATGGACGTGGAGGTGGACGTGGATGTGGACGTGGACATGGTCGTGGACATGGACGTGGATGTGGACGTGGACATGGACGTGGACATGGACGTGGACGTGGACGTGGAGGACTTGGACGTGGACATGGACATGGACGTGGACGTGAACATGGACGTGGACGTGCACGTAGACATGGACGTGGACGTAGACATGGACGTGGACGTAGACATGGACGTGGACATGGACATGGATGTGGACGTGGACGTGGACGTAGACATGGACGTGGACGTGGACGTAGACATGGACGTGGACATGGACGTGGACGTGGACGTGGACGTAGACGTGGACGTGGACGTGGACGTGCACGTGGACGTGGACATGGTCGTGGACGTGGACGTGGACGTGGACGTGGACGTGGACATGGTCGTGGACGTGGACGTGGACGTGGACGTGGACATGGACGTGGACGTGGACGTGGAGGACTTGGAGGTGGACATGGACATAGACGTGGACGTGAACATGGACGTGGACGTGGACGTGGACGTGGACGTGGACATAGACGTGGACGTGGACGTGGACATGGACGTGGACTTGGACGTGGACGTGGACGTGGACATGGACGTGGACGTGGACGTGGACGTAGACGTGGACGTGGACGTGGACGTGGACGTGGACATGGTCGTGGACGTGGACGTGGACGTGGACGTGGACATGGACGTGGACGTGGACGTGGACATGGACGTGGACGTGGACGTGGACGTGGACGTGGACGTGGACATGGACGTGGACATGGACGTGGACGTGGACGTGGACGTGGACGAGGACATAGATGAGACGTGGACGTGGACGTGGACGTGGACGTCGACATGGACGTCGACATGGACGTGGACGTGCACGTGGACGTGGATATGGACGTGGACGTGGACGTGGACGTGGACGTGGTCGTGGACGTAGACGTGGACGTGGACGTGGACGTGGAGGACTTGGACGTGGACATGGTCGTGGACGTGGACGTGAACGTGGACGTGGACGTGGACGTGGACGTGGACGTGGACATGGTCATGGACGTGGACGTGGACGTGGACGTGGACATGGACGTGGACGTGGACGTGGACATGGACGTCGACGTGGACGTGGAGGACTTGGACGTAGACATGGACATGGACGTGGACGTGAACATGGACGTGGACGTGGACGTGGACGTGGACATAGACGTGGACGTGGACGTGGACATGGACGTGGACTTGGACGTGGACGTGGACGTGCACATGGACGTGGACGTGGACGTGGACGTAGACGTGGACGTGGACGTGGACGTGGACGTGGACGTGGACATGGTCGTGGACGTGGACGTGGACGTGGACATGGTCGTGGACGTGGACGTGGACGTGGACGTGGACGTGGACATGGACGTGGACGTGGACGTGGACGTGGACATGGACGTGGACGTGGACGTGGACGTGGACGTGGACGTGGACGTGGACGTTGACATGAACGTGGACGTGGACGTGGACGTGGACATGGACGTGGACGTGGACGTTGACGTGGACGTGGACGAGGACATAGACGTGGACGTGGACGTGGACGTGGACATGGACGTAGACGTGGACATGGACGTCGACATGGACGTGGACATGGACGTGGACGTGGACGTGGACGTGGATATGGACGTGGACGTGGACGTGGACGTGGACGTGGTCGTGGACGTAGACGTGGACGTGGACGTGGACGTGGTCGTGGACGTGGACGTGGACGTGGACGTGGACGTGGACGTGGACATGGACATGGTCGTGGACGTGGACGTGGACGTGGACGTGGATGTGGACGTGGACATGGATGTGGACGTGGACGTGGACGTGGACATGGATGTGGACGTGGACGTGGACGTGGACGTGGACATGGACGTGGACATGGATGTGGACGTGGACGTGGACGTGGACGTGGACATGGACGTGGACGTCCACGTCCACGTCCACGTCCACGTCCTTGTCTACGTCCATTTCCACGTCCACGTCCACGTCCACGTCCACGTCCATGTCCACGTCCACCTCCATTCCACGTCCACGTCCACGTCCACGTCCATGTCCACGTCCACCTCCACGTCCACGTCCATGTCCACGTCCACGTCTACGTCCACGTCCATGTCCACGTCCACGTCCACGTCCACGTCCACATCCACGTCCACGTCCCGTCCACGTCCATGTCCACGTCCACGTCCACGTCCAGGTCCTCGTCCACGTCCACGTCCACGTCCACGTCCAAGTCCTCGTCCACGTCCAGGACCATGTCCACGTCCACTTCCACGTCCACGTCCATGTCCACGTCCACGACCATGTCCAGGTCTACGTCCACGTCCTCGTCCACGTCCACGTCCACGTCCATGTCCTCGTCCACGTCCATGTCCACGTCCACGTCCACGTCCTCGTCCACGTCCACGTCCACGTCCATGTCCACGTCCACGTCCACGTCCACGTCCACGACCATGTCCACGTCCACTTCCACGTCCACGTCCATGTCCACGTCCACGACCATGTCCAGGTCTACGTCCACGTCCTCGTCCACGTCCACGTCCATGTCCATGTCCACGTCCACGTCCACGTCCCGTCCACGTCCATGTCCACGTCCACGTCCACGTCCAGGTCCTCGTCCACGTCCACGTCCACGTCCACGTCCACGTCCAAGTCCTCGTCCACGTCCACGACCATGTCCACGTCCACTTCCACGTCCACGTCCATGTCCACGTCCACGACCATGTCCAGGTCTACGTCCACGTCCTCGTCCACGTCCACGTCCACGTCCACGTCCATGTCCTCGTCCACGTCCACGTCCACGTCCACGTCCACGTCCACGACCACGTCCACGTCCACGTCCACGTCCACGTCCACGTCCACGACCACGTCCACGACCACGTCCACGTCCACGTCCACGTTTATGTCCACGTCCACGTCCACGTCCACGTCCAAGTCCATGTCCACGTCCACGTCCATGTCCACGTCCACGTCCATGTCCACGTCCACGTCCACGTCCACGTCCATGTCCATGTCCACGTCCACGTCCACAACCATGTCCACGTCCATGTCCACGTCCACGTCCATGTCCACGTCCACGTCCACGTCCACGTCCATGTCCATGTCCACGTCCATGTCCACGTCCACGTCCACGTCCACGTCCACGTCCATGTCCTCGTCCACGTCCACGTCCACGTCAACGTCCACGTCCATGTCCACGTCCACGTCCTCGTCCACGTCCATGTCCACGTCCACGTCCATGTCCACGTCCAAGTCCACGTCCACGTCAATGTCCATGTCCACGTCCACGTCCACGTCCACGTCCACGTCCACGTCCACGTCCACGTCCTCGTCCACGTCCACGTCAACGTCCACGTCCATGTCTACGTCCACGTCCTCGTCCATGTCCATGTCCACGTCCACGTCCATGTCCACGTTCACGTCCACGTCCACGTCCACGTCCACGTCTATGTCCACGTCCACGTCCATGTCCACGTCCACGTCCACGTCCATGTCCATGTCCACGTACACGTCCACGTCCACGTCCACGTCCACGTCCATGTCCACGTCCATGTCTACGTCCACGTCCACGTCCACGACCACGTCCACGTCCACGTCCACGTCCACGTCCACGAGCACGTGCACGACCACGTCCACATCCACGTCCACGTCCATGTCCACGTCCACGTCCACGTCCATGTCCACGACCACGTCCATGTCCACGTCCACGTCCACGTCCCGTCCACGTCCATGTCCACGTCCACGTCCACGTGCAGGTCCTCGTCCACGTCCACGTCCACGTCCACGTCCAAGTCCTCGTCCACGTCCACGACCATGTCCACGTCCACTTCCACGTCCACGTCCATGTCCACGTCCACGACCATGTCCAGGTCTACGTCCACGTCCTCATCCACGTCCACGACCACGTCCACGTCCATGTCCTCGTCCACGTCAAAGTCCACGTCCACGCTGGGTCCACGTCCACGTCCACGTCCACGTCCACGTCCACGTCCACGTCCACGACCACGACCACGTCCACGTCCACGTCCACGTCCAAAACCATGTCCACGTCCACGTCCATGTCCACGTCCACGTCCATGTCCACGTCCACGTCCACGTCCACGTCCATGTCCACGTCCACGTCCACGGCCATGTCCACGTCCACGTCCATGTCCACGTCCACGTCCACATCCACGTCCACGTCCTCGTCCACGTCCACGTCCACGTCCACGTCAACGTCCACGTCCATGTCTACGTCCACGTCCTCGTCCACGTCCATGTCCACGTCCACGTCCATGTCCACGTCCACGTCCACGTCCACGTCCATGTCCATGTCCACGTCCACGTCCACGTCCACGTCCACGTCCTCGTCCACGTCCACGTCCACGTCAACGTCCACGTCCATGTCCACGTCCACGTCCTCGTCCACGTCCATGTCCACGTCCACGTCTATGTCCACGTCCACGTCCACGTCCACGTCCACGTCCATGTCCACGTCCACGTCCACGTCCACGTCCACGTCCATGTCCACGTCCATGTCCACGTCCACGTCCACGTCCACGACCACGTCCACGTCCACGTCCACGTCCACGAGCACGTCCACGACCACGTCCACGTCCACGTCCACGTCCATGTCCACGTCCACGTCCACGTCCATGTCCACGACCACGTCCATGTCCACGTCCACGTCCACGTCCCGTCCACGTCCATGTCCACGTCTACGTCCACGTGCAGGTCCTCGTCCACGTCCACGTCCACGTCCACGTCCAAGTCCTCGTCCACGTCCACGACCATGTCCACGTCCACTTCCACGTCCACGTCCATGTCCACGTCCACGACCATGTCCAGGTCTACGTCCACGTCCTCATCCACGTCCACGACCACGTCCACGTCCATGTCCTCGTCCACGTCAAAGTCCACGTCCACGCTGGGTCCACGTCCACGTCCACGTCCACGTCCACGTCCACGACCACGACCACGTCCACGTCCACGTCCACGTCCAAAACCATGTCCACGTCCACGTCCATGTCCACGTCCACGTCCATGTCCACGTCCACGTCCACGTCCACGTCCATGTCCACGTCCACGTCCACGGCCATGTCCACGTCCACGTCCATGTCCACGTCCACGTCCACATCCACGTCCATGTCCATGTCCACGTCCACGTCCACGTCCACGTCCACGTCCTCGTCCACGTCCACGTCCACGTCCACGTCAACGTCCACGTCCATGTCCACGTCCACGTCCTCGTCCACGTCCATGTCCACGTCCACGTCCATGTCCACGTCCACGTCCACGTCCACGTCCATGTCCATGTCCACGTCCACGTCCACGTCCACGTCCTCGTCCACGTCCACGTCCACGTCAACGTCCACGTCCATGTCCACGTCCACGTCCTCGTCCACGTCCATGTCCACGTCCACGTCTATGTCCACGTCCACGTCCACGTCCACGTCCACGTCCACGTCCACGTCCACGTCCATGTCCACGTCCACGTCCATGTCCACGTCCACGTCCACGTCCATGTCCATGCCCACGTACACATCCACGTCCACGTCCACGTCCACGTCCACGTCCATGTCCACGTCCATGTCCACGTCCACGTCCACGTCCACGACCACGTCCACATCCACGTCCACGTCCACGTCCACGTCCACGTCCACATCCACGTCCACGACCACGTCCACGACCACGTCCACGTCCACGTCCATGTCCACGTCCACGTCCACGTCCATGTCCACGTCCACGTTCACGTCCACGTCCACGACCACGTCCATGTCCACGTCCACGTCCACGTCCACGTCCATGTCCACGTCCACGTCCACGTCCACGTCCACGTCCACGTCCATGTCCACGTCCATGTCCACGTCCACGTCCACGTCAACGTCCACGTCCACGTCCACGTCCACGTCCATGTCCACGTCCACGTCCACGTCCACGTCCACGTCCATGTCCACGTCCACTTCCACGACCATGTCCACATCCACGTCCACGTCCACGTCCACGTCCATGTCCACGTCCATGTCCACGTCCACGTCCACGTCCAAGTCCACGTCCACGTCCACGTCCATGTCCACGTCCACGTCCACGTCCACGTCCATGTCCACGTCCACATCCACGTCCACGTTCATGTCCACGACCACGTCCATGTCCACGTCCACGTCCACGTCCACGACCATGTCTATGTCCATGTCCTCGTCCACGTCCACGTCCACGTCCACGTCCACGTCCACGTCCACGACCATGTCCACGTCTACGTCCATGTCCACGTCCACGTCCACGTCCACGTCCACGTCCACGTCCATGTCCTCGTCCACGTCCATGTCCACGTCCACGTCCACGTCCATGTCCACGTCCACGTCCACGTCCACGTCCATGCCACGTCCACGTCCACGTCCATGTCCACGTCCATGTCCACGTCCACGTCCACGTCAACGTCCACGTCCACGTCCACGTCCACGTCCATGTCCACGTCCACGTCCACGTCCACGTCCACGTCCATGTCCACTTCCACGACCATGTCCACGTCCACGTCCACGTCCACGTCCATGTCCACGTCCATGTCCACGTCCACGTCCACGTCCACGTCCACGTCCACGTCCATGACCACGTCCACTTCCACGACCATGTCCACGTCCATGTCCACGTCCACGTCCATGTCCACGTCCACGTCCACGTCCAGGTCCTCGTCCACGTCCACGTCCACGTCCACGTCCACGTCCAAGTCCTCGTCCACGTCCACGACCATGTCCACGTCCACTTCCACGTCCACGTCCATGTCCACGTCCACGACCATGTCCAGGTCTACGTCCACGTCCTCGTCCACGTCCACGTCCACGTCCACGTCCACGTCCATGTCCTCGTCCACGTCCATGTCCACGTCCACGTCCACGTCCTCGTCCACGTCCATGTCCACGTCCATGTCCACGTCCACGTCCACGTCCACGACCATGTCCACGTCCACTTCCACGTCCACGTCCATGTCCACGTCCACGACCATGTCCAGGTCTACGTCCACGTCCTCGTCCACGTCCACGTCCACGTCCATGTCCATGTCCACGTCCACGTCCACGTCCCGTTCACGTCCATGTCCACGTCCACGTCCACGTCCAGGTCCTCGTCCACGTCCACGTCCACGTCCACGTCCACGTCCAAGTCCTCGTCCACGTCTACGACCATGTCCACGTCCACTTCCACGTCCACGTCCATGTCCACGTCCATGACCATGTCCAGGTCTACGTCCACGTCCTCGTCCACGTCCACGTCCACGTCCACGTCCATGTCCTCGTCCACGTCCATGTCCACGTCCACGTCCACGTCCACGTCCACGTCCACGACCACGTCCACGTCCACGTCCACGTCCACGTCCACGTCCACGTCCACGACCACGTCCACGACCACGTCCACGTCCACGTCCACGTCCATGTCCACGTCCACGTCCATGTCCACGTCCACGTCCATGTCCACATCCACGTCCACGTCCACGTCCACGTCCACGTCCATGTCCACGTCCACGTCCACGTCCACGACCACGTCCACGTCCACGTCCACATCCACGTCCACGTCCACGTCCACAACCACGTCCACGACCACGTCCACGTCCACGTCCACGTCCATGTCCACGTCCACGTCCACGTCCATGTCCACGACCACGTCCATGTCCACGTCCACGTTCACGTCCCGTCCACGTCCATGTCCACGTCCACGTCCACGTCCAGGTCCTCGTCCACGTCCACGTCCACGTCCACGTCCACGTCCAAGTCCTCGTCCACGTCCACGACCATGTCCACGTCCACTTCCACGTCCACGTCCATGTCCACGTCCACGACCATGTCCAGGTCTACGTCCACGTCCTCGTCCACGTCCACGTCCACGTCCATGTCCTCGTCCACGTCAAAGTCTACGTCCACGTCCACGTCCTCGTCCACGTCCACGTCCGGGTCCACGTCCATGCCACGTCCACGTCCACGTCCATGTCCACGTCCATGTCCACGTCCACGTCCACGTCAACGTCCACGTCCACGTCCACGTCCACGTCCATGTCCACGTCCACGTCCACGTCCACGTCCACGTCCATGTCCACGTCCATGTCCACGTCCACGTCCACGTCCACGTCCACGTCCACGTCCACGTCCACGTCCACGTCCACGTCCATGTCCACGTCCACTTCCACGACCATGTCCACGTCCATGTCCACGTCCACGTCCATGTCCACGTCCACGTCCACGTCCAGGTCCTCGTCCACGTCCACGTCCACGTCCACGTCCAAGTCCTCGTCCACGTCCACGACCATGTCCACGTCCACTTCCACGTCCACGTCCATGTCCACGTCCACGACCATGTCCAGGTCTACGTCCACGTCCTCGTCCAAATCCACGTCCACGTCCACGTCCACGTCCATGTCCTCGTCCACGTCCATGTCCACGTCCACGTCCACGTCCTCGTCCACGTCCATGTCCACGTCCATGTCCACGTCCACGTCCACGTCCACGTCCACGACCATGTCCACGTCCACTTCCACGTCCACGTCCATGTCCACGTCCACGACCATGTCCAGGTCTACGTCCACGTCCTCGTCCACGTCCACGTCCACGTCCATGTCCATGTCCACGTCCACGTCCACGTCCCGTTCACGTCCATGTCCACGTCTACGTCCACGTCCAGGTCCTCGTCCACGTCCACGTCCACGTCCACGTCCACGTCCACGTCCAAGTCCTCGTCCACGTCTACGACCATGTCCACGTCCACTTCCACGTCCACGTCCATGTCCACGTCCATGACCATGTCCAGGTCTACGTCCACGTCCTCGTCCACGTCCACGTCCACGTCCACGTCCATGTCCTCGTCCACGTCCATGTCCACGTCCACGTCCACGTCCACGTCCACGTCCACGACCACGTCCACGTCCACGTCCACGTCCACGTCCACGTCCACGTCCACGACCACGTCCACGACCACGTCCACGTCCACGTCCACGTCCATGTCCACGTCCACGTCCATGTCCACGTCCACGTCCATGTCCACATCCACGTCCACGTCCACGTCCACGTCCACGTCCATGTCCACGTCCACGTCCACGTCCACGACCACGTCCACGTCCACGTCCACATCCACGTCCACGTCCACGTCCACAACCACGTCCACGACCACGTCCACGTCCACGTCCACGTCCATGTCCACGTCCACGTCCACGTCCATGTCCACGACCACGTCCATGTCCACGTCCACGTTCACGTCCCGTCCACGTCCATGTCCACGTCCACGTCCACGTCCAGGTCCTCGTCCACGTCCACGTCCACGTCCACGTCCACGTCCAAGTCCTCGTCCACGTCCACGACCATGTCCACGTCCACTTCCACGTCCACGTCCATGTCCACGTCCACGACCATGTCCAGGTCTACGTCCACGTCCTCGTCCACGTCCACGTCCACGTCCATGTCCTCGTCCACGTCAAAGTCTACGTCCACGTCCACGTCCTCGTCCACGTCCACGTCCGGGTCCACGTCCACGTCCACGTCCACGTCCACGTCTACGTTCACGTCCACGACCACGACCACGTCCACGTCCACGTCCACGTCCAAGTCCATGTCCACGTCCACGTCCATGTCCACGTCCACGTCCATGTCCACGTCCACGTCCACGTCCACGTCCATGTCCATGTCCACGTCCACGTCCACGGCCATGTCCACGTCCACGTCCATGTCCACGTCCACGTCCATGTCCACGTCCACGTCCACGTCCACGTCCATGTCCATGTCCACGTCCACGTCCCAGCCACGTCCACGTCCTTGTCCACGTCCACGTCCACGTCCACGTCAACGTCCACGTCCATGTCCACGTCCACGTCCTCGTCCACGTCCATGTCCACGTCCACGTCCATGTCCACGTCCACGTCCACGTCCACGTCCATGTCCATGTCCACGTCCACGTCCACGTCCACGTCCTCGTCCACGTCCACGTCCACGTCAACGTCCACGTCCATGTCCACGTCCACGTCCTCGTCCACGTCCATGTCCACGTCCACGTCTATGTCCACGTCCACGTCCACGTCCACGTCCACGTCCATGTCCACGTCCACGTCCATGTCCACGTCCACGTCCACGTCCATGTCCATGTCCACGTACACATCCACGTCCACGTCCACGTCCACGTCCACGTCCATGTCCACGTCCATGTCCACGTCCACGTCCACGTCCACGACCACGTCCACGTCCACGTCCACGTCCACGTCCACGTCCACGACCACGTCCACGACCACGTCCACGTCCACATCCATGTCCACGTCCACGTCCACGTCCATGTCCACGTCCACGTTGACATCAAGGTCCACGACAACGTCCATGTCCACGTCCACGTCCACGTCCACGTCCATGTCCACGTCCACATCCACGTCCACGTCCACGTCCACGTTCATGTCCACGTCCATGTCCACGTCCACGTCCACGTCAACGTCCACGTCCACGTCCACGTCCATGTCCACGTCCACGTCCACGTCCACGTCCACGTCCATGTCCACGTCCACTTCCACGACCATGTCCACGTCCACGTCCACGTCCACGTCCACGTCCATGTCCACGTCCATGTCCACGTCCACGTCCACGTCCACGTCCACGTCCACGTCCATGTCCACGTCCACGTCCACGTCCACGTCCATGTCCACGTCCACGTCCACGTCCACGTCCATGTCCACGACCACGTCCATGTCCACGTCCACGTCCACGACCATGTCCATGTCCATGTCCTCGTCCACGTCCACGTCCACGTCCACGTCCACGTCCACGACCATGTCCACGTCTACGTCCATGTCCACGTCCACGTCCACGTCCACGTCCACGTCCACGTCCATGTCCTCGTCCACGTCCATGTCCACGTCCACGTCCACGTCCACGTCCAAGTCCATGTCCACGTCCACGTCCATGTCCACGTCCACGTCCATGTCCACGTCCACGTCCACGTCCACGTCCATGTCCATGTCCACGTCCACGTCCACGGCCATGTCCACGTCCATGTCCACGTCCACGTCCATGTCCACGTCCACGTCCACGTCCACGTCCATGTCCATGTCCACGTCCACGTCCACGTCCACGTCCACGTCCACGTCCTCGTCCACGTCCACGTCCACGTCCACGTCAACGTCCACGTCCATGTCCACGTCCACGTCCTCGTCCACGTCCATGTCCACGTCCACGTCCATGTCCACGTCCACGTCCACGTCCATGTCCATGTCCACGTCCACGTCCACGTCCACGTCCTCGTCCACGTCCACGTCCACGTCAACGTCCACGTCCATGTCCACGTCCACGTCCTCGTCCACGTCCATGTCCACGTCCACGTCCATGTCCACGTCCACGTCCACGTCCACGTCCACGTCCACGTCCATGTCCACGTCCACGTCCATGTCCACGTCCACGTCCACGTCCACGTCCATGTCCATGTCCACGTACACATCCACGTCCACGTCCACGTCCACGTCCATGTCCACGTCCATGTCCACGTCCACGTCCACGTCCACGACCACGTCCACGTCCACGTCCACGTCCACGTCCACGTCCACGACCACGTCCACGACCACGTCCACGTCCACGTCCATGTCCACGTCCACGTCCACGTCCATGTCCACGTCCACGTTCACGTCCACGTCCACGACAACTTCCATGTCCACGTCCACGTCCACGTCCACGTCCATGTCCACGTCCACGTCCACGTCCACGTCCACGTCCACGTCCATGTCCACGTCCATGTCCATGTCCACGTCCACATCAACGTGCATATCCACGTCCACGTCCACGTCCATGTCCACGTCCACGTCCACGTCCACGTCCATGTCCATGTCCACGTCCACTTCCACGACCATGTCCACGTCCACGTCCACGTCCATGTCCACGTCCATGTCCACGTCCACGACCACGTCCACAGCCACGTCCACGTCCACGTCCATGTCCACGTCCACGTCCACATCCACGTCCATGTCCACGTCCACGTCCACGTCCATGTCCACGACCACGCCACGTCCACGTCCATCTCCATGTCCACGACCACGTCCATGTCCACGTCCACGTCCACGTCCACGTCCATGTCCACGACCACGTCCATGTCCACGTCCACGTCCACGACCATGTCCATGTCCATGTCCTCGTCCACGTCCACGTCCACGTCCACGTCCACGTCCACGACCATGTCCACGTCTACGTCCATGTCCACGTCCACGTCCACGTCCACGTCGACGTCCACGTCCATGTCCTCGTCCACGTCCATGTCCACGTCCACGTCCACGTCCACGTCCTCGTCCACGTCCACGTCCACGTCCACGTCCCGTCCACTTCCACGTCCATGTCCACGTCCACGTCCACGTCGAGGTCCTCGTCCACGTCCAGGTCCACGTCCACGTCCACGTCCAAGTCCTCGTCCACGTCCACGACCATGTCCACGTCCACGTCCACGTCCACGTCCACGTCCATGTCCACCTCCACGACCATGCCCACGTCCACGTCCTCGTCCACGTCCACGTCCACGTCCATGTCCTCGTCCACGTCTATGTCCACGTCCATGTCCACGTCCACGTCCACGTCCACGTCAACGTCCATGTCCCCGTCCACGTCCACGTCCACGTCCCGTCCCGTCCACGTCCACGTCCCGTCCCCGTCCACGTCCTCGTCCACGTCCATGTCCACGTCCACGTCCCGTCCACGTCCTCGTCCACGTCCATGTCCACGTCCATGTCCACGTCCACGTCCCGTCCAGGTCCACGTCGAGGTCCTCGTCCACGTCCACGTCCTCGTCCACGTCCATGTCCAAGTCCTCGTCCACGTCCACGACCATGTCCATGTCCACGTCCACGTGCACGTCCAAGTCCACGTCCACGTCCACAACCATGTCCACGTCCACGTCCACGTCCACGTCCACGTCCAGGTCCACGTCCACAACCACGACCATGTCCACGTCCACGTCCACGACCATGTCCACGTCCATGTCCACGTCCACGTCCACGTCCACGTCCTCGTCCACGTCTATGTCCACGTCTACGTCCACGTCCACGTCCACGTCCACGACCACGTCCACGTCCACGTTCACGTCCACGTCCACGTCCACGTCCATGTCCACGTCCACGTCCACGTCCACGTCCTTGTCCACGACCACGTCCATGTCCACGTCCACGACCATGTCCATGTCCATGTCCACGTCCACGTCCACGTCCACGTCCACGTCCATGTCTACGTCCATGTCCACGTCCACGTTCACGTCCACGTCCACGTCCATGTCCACGTCCACGTCCACGTCCACGTCCATGTCCACGTCCACGTCCATGTCCACGTCCAGGTCCACATCCACGTCCATGTCCACGACCACGTCGACGTTCATGTCCACGTCCATGTCCACGTCCTTGTCCATGTCCACGTCCACGTCCAGGTCCAGGTCCACGTCCACGTTCACGTCCTCGTCCATGTCCACGTCCACGTCCACGTCCATGTCCACGTCCACGTCAACGTCCACGTCCATGTCCACGTCCACGTCCACGTCCACGTCCATGTCCACGTCCACGTCCACGTCCATGTCCACGTCCACGTCCAAGTCTACGTCCACGTCCACGTCCAAGTCCACGTCCACGTCCATGTCCATGTCCACGTCCATGTCCACGTCCACGTCCACGCCCACGTTCATGTCCACATCCACGTCTAGGTCCATGTCCACGTCCACATCCATGTCCACGTCCCCGTCCACGTCCACCTTCAGGTCCACGTCCATGTCCACGTCCACGTCCAGGTCCACGTCCACGTCCACGTCCACGTCCACGTCCACGTCCATGTCCACATCCACGTCCAAGTCCACGTCCATGTCCACGTCCACGTCCTCGTCCACGTCCATGTCTACGTCCACGTCCACGTCCACGTCCATGTCCACCTCCACGTCCACGTCCACGTCCAGGTTCACGTCCACGTCCACGTTCACGTCCTCGTCCATGTCCACGTCCACGTCCACGTCAACGTCCACGTCCACGTCCACGTCCACGTCCATGTCAACGTTCACGTCCACGTCCACGTCCACGTCCACGTCCATGTCCACGTCCACGTCCATGTCCACGTCCACGTCCATGTCCACGTCCACGTTCAGGTCCACGTCCACGTCCAGGTCCATGTCCATGTCCACGTCCATGTCCATGTCCACGTCCACGTTCACGTCCACGTCCACGTCCATGTCCACGTTCACGTGCACGTGCACGTCCACGTCCATGTCCACGTCCACGTCCATGTCCACGTCCACGTCCATGTCCACGTCCACGTCCAGGTCCACGTCCACGTCCAGGTCCATGTCCATGTCTACGTCCATGTCCACGTCCACGTCCACGTCCACGTCTATGTCCACGTCCACGTCTATGTCCACGTCCACGTCCATGTCCACGTCCATGTCCACGTCCACGTCCACGTTCATGTCCACGTCCACGTTTACATCCATGTCCACGTCCACGTCCACGTCCACAACCATGTCCATGTCCATGTCCACGTCCTCGTCCATGTCCACGTCCACGTCCAGGTCCAGGTCCACGTCCACGTTCACGTCCTCGTCCACGTCCTCGTCCACGTCCACGTCCACGTCCAGGTCCAAGTCGACGTCCACGTTCACGTCTTCGTCCATGTCCACGTCCACGTCCACGTCCACGTCCACGTCCCTATCCACGTCCACGTCCACGTCCAGGTCCACGTCCACGTCTACGTCCACGTCCACGTCCACGTACACGTCCATGTCCACGTCCACGTGCTCGTCCACGTCCACGTCCATGTCCACGGCCACGTCCACGTCCAAGTCCACGTCCACGTCCACGACCATGTCCACGTCCATGTCCATGTCCACATCCACGTCCACGTCCACGCTACGTCCACGTCCACGTCCATGTCCACGTCCACGTCCACATCCATGTCCACGTCCACGTCCACGTCCACGTCCACGTCCATGTCCACGTCCACGTCCACGTCCACGTCCACGTCCACGTCCACGTCCATGTCCACGTCCACGTCCACGTCCACGTCCACATCTATGTCCACGTCCATGTCCACGTCCATATCCACGTCTACGTCGACGTCCACGTCCACGTCCATGTCCACGTCCAAGTCCTCCACGTCCACGTCCACGTCCATGTCCACGTCCACGTCCATGTCCACGTCCACGTCCACCTCCATGTCCACGTCCACGTCCACGTCCACGTCCATGTCCACGTCCACGTCCACGTCCATGTCCACGTCCACGTCCACGTCCACATCCACGTCCATGTCCACGTCCACGTCCACGTCGATCTCCACGTCCACGTCCACGTCCACGTCCATGTCCACGTCCATGTCCACGTCCACGTCCACATCCACGTCCACGTCCATGTCCACGTCCACGTCCACGTCTACGTCCACATCCACGTCCACGTCCATGTCCACGTCCAAATCCTCCACGTCCACGTCCACGTCCATGTCCACCTCCAGATCCATGTCCACGTCTACGTCCATGTCCATGTCCACGTCCACGTCCACGTCCACGTCTATGTCCATGTCCACGTCCACGTCCACATCCACGTCCATGTCTACGTCCACGTCCATGTCCATGTCCACGTCCATGTCCACGTCCACGTCCACGTCCACGTCCATGTCTACGTCCACGTCCATGTCCACGTCCACGTCCACGTCCAGGTCCAGGTCCACGTCCACGTCCATGTCCATGTCCACGTCCACGTCCATGTCTACGTCCACGTCCATGTCCACGTCCACGTCCACGTCCACGTCCATGTCTACGTCCACGTCCATGTCCACGTCCACGTCCACGTCCATGTCCACGTCCATGTCCACGTCCACGTCCACGTTCATGTCCACGTCCACGTTTACATCCATGTCCACGTCCACGTCCACGTCCACAACCATGTCCATGTCCATGTCCACGTCCTCGTCCATGTCCACGTCCACGTCCAGGTCCAGGTCCACGTCCACGTTCACGTCCTCGTCCACGTCCTCGTCCACGTCCACGTCCACGTCCAGGTCCAAGTCGACGTCCACGTTCACGTCTTCGTCCATGTCCACGTCCACGTCCACGTCCACGTCCACGTCCCTATCCACGTCCACGTCCACGTCCAGGTCCACGTCCACGTCTACGTCCACGTCCACGTCCACGTACACGTCCATGTCCACGTCCACGTGCTCGTCCACGTCCACGTCCATGTCCACGGCCACGTCCACGTCCAAGTCCACGTCCACGTCCACGACCATGTCCACGTCCATGTCCATGTCCACGTCCATGTCCATGTCCACGTCCATGTCCACGACTTTTACGTCCACGTCCACGTCCAGATCCATGTCCACGTCCACGTCCACGTCCACGTCCATGTACACGTCCACGTCAAGGTCCACGTCCACTTCCACGTTCACGTCCACGTCCACGTCCAGGTCCACGTCCACGTCCAGGTCCATGTCCATGTCTACGTCCATGTCCACGTCCACGTCCACGTCCACATCCACGTTCATATCCACGTCCATGTCCACGTCCACGTCCACGTCCACGTCAATGTCCATGTCCAGGTCCACATCCACATCCACGTCCACGTCCACGTCCACGTCCACATCCACGTCCACGTCCACTTCCACGTCTATGTCTATGTCCACGTCCACGTCCAAGTCCACGTCCACGTCCACGTCCATGTCTATGTCCACGTCCACGTCCATGTCCACGTCCAGGTCCACATCCACGTCCATGTCCACGACCACGTCCACGTTTTTGTCCACGTCCATGTCCACGTCGTTATCCATGTCCACGTCCATGTCCAGGTCCACGTCCACGTCCACGTTCACATCCTCGTCCATGTCCACGTCCACGTCCACGTCCACGTCCATGTCCACGTCCACGTCCACGTCCAGGTCCATGTCCACGTCCACGTCCACGTCCACATCCATGTCCATGTCCACGTCCACGTCCATGTCCACGTCCACGTCCAAGTCTACGTCCAGGTCCACGTCCAAGTCCACGTCCACGTCCATGTCCATGTCCATGTCCACGTCCATGTCCACGTCCACGCCCACGTTCATGTCCACGTCCACGTCTAGGTCCATGTCCACGTCCACATCCATGTCCACGTCCCCGTCCACGTCCACCTTCAGGTCCACGTCCACGTCCACGTCCATGTCCACGTCCACGTCCAGGTCCACGTCCACGTCCACGTCCACGTCCACGTCCACGTCCATGTCCACGTCCACGTCCAAGTCCACGTCCATGTCCACGTCCACGTCCACGTCCACGTCCATGTCCACGTCCACGTCCACGTCCATGTCCACCTCCACGTCCACGTCCACGTCCACGTCCAGTTCCAGGTCCACGTCCACGTTCACGTCCTCGTCCATATCCACGTCCACGTCCACGTCAACGTCCACGTCCACGTCCACGTCCACGTCCATGTCAACGTTCACGTCCACGTCCACGTCCACGTCCACGTCCATGTCCACGTCCACGTCCATGTCCACGTCCACGTCCATGTCCACGTCCACGTCCAGGTCCACGTCCACGTCCAGGTCCATGCCCATTTCCACGTCCATGTCCATGTCCACGTCCACGTTCACGTCCACGTCCACGTCCATGTCCACGTTCACGTCCACGTTCACGTGCACGTCCACGTCCACGTCCACGTCCACGTCCATGTCCACGTCCACGTCCATGTCCACGTCCACGTCCATGTCCACGTCCACGTCCAGGTCCAGGTCCACGTCCAGGTCCATGTCCATGTCTACGTCCATGTCCACATCCACGTCCACGTCCACGTCCACGTCCACGTCCACGTCTATGTCCACGTCCACGTCTATGTCCACACCCACGTCCATGTCCACGTCCATGTCCACGTCCACGTCCACGTTCATGTCTACGTCCACGTCCACATCCACGTCCACGTCCATGTCCATGTCCATGTCCACGTCCTTGTCCATGTCCACGTCCACGTCCAGGTCCACGTCCACGTTCACGTCCTCGTCCACGTCCTCGTCCACATCCACGTCCACGTCCAGGTCCAAGTCCACGTCCACGTTCACGTCCTCGTCCATGTCCACGTCCACGTTCACGTCCACGTCCACGTCCACGTCCCTGTCCACGTCCACGTCCACGTCCAGGTCCACGTCCACGTCCACGTTCACGTCCACGTCCACGTCCATGTCCACGTCCACGTCCACGTCCATGTCCACGTCCACGTGCACGTCCACGTCCACGTCCATGTCTACGGCCACGTCCACGTCCAGGTCCACGTCCACGTCCACGACCATGTCCACGTCCATGTCCATGTCCACGTCCATGTCCACGACTTTTACGTCCAAGTCCACGTCTTGATCCATGTCCACGTCCACGTCCACGTCCACGTCCATGTACACGTCCACGTCCAGGTCCACGTCCACTTCCACGTTCACGTCCACGTCCACGTCCAGGTCCAGATCCACGTCCACGTCCACGTCCCGGTCCACGACCACGTCCAGGTCCACAACCATGTCTAGGTCCACATCCACGTCCATATCCACGTCCATGTCCACGTCCACGTCCAGGTCCACGACCACCTCCACGTCCACGTCCACGTCCACGTCGAGGTCCACGTTAACGTCCATGTCCACGTTAACGTCCATGTCCAAGTCCACGTCCACGTCCACATCCACGTCCACTTCCACGTCCATGTCCACGTCCACGTCCATGTCCACGTCCACGTCCACGTCCACGTCCATGTCCATGTCCATGTCCACGTCCACGTCCACGTCCACGTCCACGACCACCTCCACGTCCACGTCCATGTCCACGTCCAGGTCCACGTTAACGTCCATGTCCACATTAACGTCCATGTCCAAGTCCACGTCCACGTCCACGTCCACGTCCATGTCCACGTCCTCGTCCACGTCCACGTCCATGTCCATGTCCACGTCCACGTCCACGTCAACGTCCACGTCCACGTCCACGTCCATGTCCACGTCCACGTTCACGTCCACGTCCACGTCCACGTCCGCGTCTACGTCTGCGTCCACGTCCACGTCCGCGTCCACGTCCGCGTCCACGTCCACGTCCGCGTCCACGTCCACGTCCGCGTCCACGTCCGCGTCGTCGTCCGCGTCCACGTCCGCGTCCACGTCCGCATCCGCGTCCGCGTCCACGTCCACGTCCGCGTCCGCGTCCATGTCCGCGTCTGCGTCCACGTCCATGTCCCCGTCCGCGCGTCCACGTCCGCGTCCACGTCCCCGTCCGCGTCCCCGTCTACGTCTGCGTCCGCGTCCACGTCCGCGTCCACGTCCGCGTCCGCGTCCACATCCACGTCCCCGTCCGCGTGTCACGTCCACGTGTCCACGTCCACGTCCATGTCCACGTCCACGTCCACGTCCACGTCCACGTCCACCTCCACGTCCACGTCCACGTCCACGTCCACGTCCATGTCCACGTCCACGTCCAGGTCCACGTCCACGTCCAAGTCCACGTTAACGTCCATGTCCAAGTCCAAGTCCACGTCCACGTCCACGTCCACGTCCACTTCCACGTCCACGTCCACGTCCACGTCCACGTGTTGTCCACGTCTAGGTCCACGTCCACGTCCACGTCCACGTCCGCGTCCGCGTCCACGTCAACGTCCGCGTCCGCGTCCACGTCCGCGTCCGCGTCCGCGTCCAAGTCCGGGTCCACGTCCGCGTCCACGTCCGCGTCCACATCCGCGTCCGCGTCCACATCCACCTCCACGTGTGCGTCCGCGTCCACGTCCACGTCTGCGTCCACGTCCATGTCCGCGTCTGCGCGACCATATCCACGTCCACGTCTGCGTCCACGTCCATGTCCACGTCCACGTCCACGACCACCTCCACGTCCACGTCCACGTCCAGGTCCACGTTAACGTCCATGTCCACGTTAACGTCCATGTCCAAGTCCACGTCCACGTCCACGTCCACTTCCACATCCATGTCCACGTCCACGTCCACGTCCATGTCCACGTCCACATCCACGTCCACGTCTATGTCCATGTCCACGTCCACGTCCACGTCCACGTCCACGTCCACGTCTATGTCTTCGTCCACGTCCACGTCCACGTCCGCGTCCACGTCCACCTCCACGTCTGCGTCCGCGTCCACGTCCACGTCTGTGTCCCCGTCCATGTCCGCGTCTTCGCGTCCACATCCACGTCCACGTCCGCGTCCACGTCGGCGTCCCCGTCCACGTCCGCGTCCACGTCCACGTCCACGTCTTCGTCCGCGTCCACGTCCGCGTCCGCGTCCAGGTCCACGTCCACGTCCACGTGTCACGTCCACGTGTCTACGTCCACGTCCACGTCCAGGTCCAGGTCCACGTGTCACGTCCACGTCCACGTCCACGTCCACGACTACGTCCACGTCCACGTCCACGTCCACGTCCAAGTCCACGTCCACGTCCAAGTCCACGTCCAAGTCCATGTCCACGTCCATGTCCACGTCCACGTCCACGTCCACGTCCACGTCCACGTCCACGTACACGTCCTCGTCCACGTCCACGTCCACGTCCAGGTCCGCGTCCACGTCCGCGTCCACGTCCAGGTCCGCGTCCACGTCCACGTCCACGTCCACGTCCAAGTCCTCCACGTCCAAGTCCTCCACGTCCACGTCCACGTCCACGTCCACATCCACGTCCACGTCCACGTCCACGTACACGTCCACGTCCACGTACACGTCCACGTCCTCGTCCACGTCCAAGTCCACGTCCAAGTTTTCCACGTCCAGGTCCACGTCCACGTCCAGGTCCACGTCCACGTCCATGTCCACGTCCACGTCCACGTCCACGTCCAAATCCACGTCCAAGTCCACGTCCTCGTCCACGTCCACGTCCACGTCCACGTCCACGTCTACGTCCACGTCCACGTCCACCACCACGTCCACCACCACGTCCACGTCCACGTCCACGTCCACGTCCACGTCCACGTCTAAGTCCACGTCCACGTCCACGTCCAAGTCCACGTCCACGTCCACGTCCACGTCCACGTCCACATCCAAGTCCTCCACGTCCAAGTCCATGTCCACGTCCACGTCCAGGTCCAGGTCCAGGTCCAGGTCCACGTCCAGGTCCAGGTCCACGTCCACGTCCACGTCCACGTCCACGACCACGTCCACGTCCACGTACACGTCCACGTCCACGTCCACGTCCAGGTCCACGTCCAGGTCTACGTCCACGTCCACGTCCACGTACACGTCCACGTCCGCGTCCACGGCCACGTCCACGGCCGCGTCCGCGTCCACGGCCACGTCCACGTCCGCGTCCGCGTCCACGGCCACGTCCACGTCCGCATCCGCGTCCACGTCCACATCCGCGTCCGCATCCGCGTCCACGTCCACGTCCGCATCCACGTCCACGGCCGCGTCCACGTCCACGTCCGCGTCCACGTCCACGTCCACGTCCGCGTCTACGTCCACGTCCACGTCCACGTCCGCGTCCACGTCCGCGTCCACGTCCGCGCGTCCACGTCCGTGTCCACGTCCGCGCGTCCACGTCCGCGTCACGTCCACGTCCACGTCCACGTCCACGTCCCCGTCCACGTCCACGTCCACGTCCCCGTCCACGTCCACGTCCACGTCCACGTCCACGTCCACGTCGACATCCACGTCCACGTCCACGTCCACGTCCACGTCCACGTCCACGTCGACGTCCACCGTCCACGTCGACGTCCACGTCCACGTCGACGTCCACGTCCGCGTCCACGTCCACGTCCGCGTCCACGTCCGCGTCCACGTCCGCTTCCGCGTCCACGTCCGCTTCCACATCCAGGTCTACGTCCACGTCCACGTCCACGTCCACGTCTACGTCCACGTCCACGTCCACGTCCACGTCCGCGTCTGCGTCCACGTCCTCGTCCGCGTCCGCGTCCGCGTCCACGTCCGCGTCCACGTCCGCGTCCACGTCCAGGTCCACAACCATGTCCACGTCCATATCCACGGTCCACGTCCACGTCCACGTCCAGGTCCACGACCACCTCCACGTCCACGTCCACGTCCACGTCCAGGTCCACGTTAATGTCCACGTCCACGTCCACTTCTACGTCCATGTCCAAGTCCACGTCCACGTCCACGTCCACTTCCACGTCCATGTCCACGTCCACGTCCACGTCCATGTCCACGTCCACGTCCACGTCCACGTCCACGTCCATGTCCACATCCACGTCTACGTCCACGTCCACGTCCACGACCACGTCCACGTCCACGACCACCTCCACGTCGACGTCCACGTTAACGTCCATGTCCACGTCCACGTCCACGTCCACGTCCATGTCCACGTCCACGTCCACGTCCATGTCCACGTCCACGTCCACGACCACGTCCACGTCCACGACCACCTCCACGTCCACGTCCACGTTAACGTCCATGTCCACCTTAACGTCCATGTCCAAGTCCACAACCACGTCCACGTCCACGTCCATGTCCACGTCCACGTCCACGTCTATGTCCACGTCCTCGTCCACGTCCACTTCCATGTCCATGTCTACGTCCACGTCCACGTCCACGTCCACGTCCACGACCACCTCCACGTCCACGTCCATGTCCACGTCCAGGTCCACGTTAACGTCCATGTCCACATTAACGTCCATGTCCATGTCCACGTCCACGTCCATGTCCACGTCCACGTCCACGACCACGTCCACGTCCACGACCACCTCCACGTCCACGTCCACGTTAACGTCCATGTCCACCTTAACGTCCATGTCCAAGTCCACAACCACGTCCACGTCCACGTCCATGTCCACGTCCACGTCCACGTCTATGTCCACGTCCTCGTCCACGTCCACTTCCATGTCCATGTCTACGTCCACGTCCACGTCCACGTCCACGTCCACGACCACCTCCACGTCCACGTCCATGTCCACGTCCAGGTCCACGTTAACGTCCATGTCCACATTAACGTCCATGTCCATGTCCACGTCCACGTCCACGTCCACGTCCGCGTCCACGTCCGCGTCCACGTCCGCGTCCACGTCCGCGTCCGCGTCCACGTCCAGGGTTTAGACCCTAAACCCTAAACCCTAAACCCTAAACCCTAAACACACGGTGGGTTGAACACACGGTGGGTTGAACACACAGTGGGTTGAACACACGGTGGGTTGAACACACGGTAGGTTGAACACACGGTGGGTTTAACATACGGTGGGTTTAACACACGGTGGGTTTAACACACGGTGGGTTTAACACACGATGGGTTTAACACACGGTGGGTTTAACACACGTTGGGTTGAACACACGGTGGGTTGAACACACGGTGGGTTGAACACACGATGGGTTGAACACATGGTGGGTTGAACACACGGTAGGTTGAACACACGGTGGGTTTAACACACGGTGGGTTTAACACACGGTGGGTTGAACACACGGTGGGTTTAACACACGATGGGTTTAACACACGGTGGATTTAACACACGGTGGGTTTAACACACGGTGGGTTGAACACACGGTGGGTTGAACACACGGTGGGTTGAACACACGGTAGGTTTAACACACGGTGGGTTGAATACACGGTGGGTTGAACACACGGTGGGTTGAACACACGGTGGGTTGAACACACGGTAGGTTTAACACACGGTGGGTTTAACACACGGTGGGTTGAACACACGGAGTGTTGAACACACCGTGTGTTGAACACACGGTGTGTTAAACACACGGTGGGTTGAACACACGGTAGGTTGAACACACGGTGGGTTGAACACACGGTGGGTTGAACACATGGTGGGTTGAACACACAGTGGGTTGAACACACGGTGGGTTGAACACACGGTAGGTTGAACACACGGTGGGTTTAACACACGGTGGGTTTAACACACGGTGGGTTGAACACACGGTGGGTTTAACACACGATGGGTTTAACACACGGTGGGTTTAACACACGGTGGGTTGAACTCACGGTAGGTTGAACACACGGTGGGTTGAACACACGGTGGGTTGAACACACGGTAGGTTTGATACACGGTGGGTTGAACACACTGTGGGTTGAACACACAGTGGGTTGAACACACGGTGGGTTGAACACACAATGGGATGAACACACGGTGGGTTGAACACACGGTAGGTTTAACACACGGTGGGTTGAACACACGGTGGGTTGAACCGCCGGTGGGTTGAAAACACGGTGGGTTGAATACACGGTGTGTTGAACATACGGTAGGTTTAACACACGGTGGGTTGAACACACGGTGGGTTGAACACACGGTGGGTTGAACACACGGTGGGTTGAACACACAGTAGGTTTAACAAACGGTGGGTTCAACACACGGTGGGTTGGACACACGGTGGGTTGAACACACGGTGGGTTGAACACACGGTGGGTTGAACACACGGTAGGTTTAACACACGGTGGGTTGAATACACGGTGGGTTGAACACACGGTGGGTTGAACACACGGTGGGTTGAACACACGGTAGGTTTAACACACGGTGGGTTTAACACACGGTGGGTTGAACACACGGAGTGTTGAACACACCGTGTGTTGAACACACGGTGTGTTAAACACATGGTGGGTTGAACACACGGTAGGTTGAACACACGGTGGGTTGAACACACGGTGGGTTGAACACATGGTGGGTTGAACACACAGTGGGTTGAACACACGGTGGGTTGAACACAAGGTAGGTTGAACACACGGTGGGTTTAACACACGGTGGGTTTAACACACGGTGGGTTGAACACACGGTGGGTTTAACACACGATGGGTTTAACACACGGTGGGTTTAACACACGGTGGGTTGAACTCACGGTGGGTTGAACACACGGTGGGTTGAACACACGGTGGGTTGAACACACGGTAGGTTTGATACACGGTGGGTTGAACACACTGTGGGTTGAACACACAGTGGGTTGAACACACGGTGGGTTGAACACACAATGGGATGAACACACGGTGGGTTGAACACACGGTAGGTTTAACACACGGTGGGTTGAACACACGGTGGGTTGAACCGCCGGTGGGTTGAAAACACGGTGGGTTGAATACACGGTGGGTTGAACATACGGTAGGTTTAACACACGGTGGGTTGAACACACGGTAGGTTTAACACACGGTGGGTTGAACACACGGTGGGTTGAACCGCCGGTGGGTTGAAAACACGGTGGGTTGAATACACGGTGTGTTGAACATACGGTAGGTTTAACACACGGTGGGTTGAACACACGGTGGGTTGAACACACGGTGGGTTGAACACACGGTGGGTTGAACACACGGTAGGTTGAACACACGGTGGGTTTAACACACAATGGGTTTAACACACGGTGGGTTGAACACACGGTGGGTTTAACACACGGTGGTTTGATACACGGTGGGTTGAACACACTGTGGGTTGAACACACAGTGGGTTGAACACACGGTGGGTTGAACACACAATGGGATGAACACACGGTGGGTTGAACACACGGTAGGTTTAACACACGGTGGGTTGAACACACGGTGGGTTGAACCGCCGGTGGGTTGAAAACACGGTGGGTTGAATACACGGTGTGTTGAACATACGGTAGGTTTAACACACGGTGGGTTGAACACACGGTGGGTTGAACACACGGTGGGTTGAACACACGGTGGGTTGAACACACAGTAGGTTTAACAAACAGTGGGTTCAACACACGGTGGGTTGGACACACGGTGGGTTCAACACACGGTGGGTTGAACACACGGTGGGTTGAACACACGGTAGGTTTAACACACGGTGGGTTGAACACACGGTGGGTTGAACACACGGTGGGTTGAACACACGGTGGGTTGAACACACGGTAGGTTTAACACACGGTGGGTTCAACACACGGTGGGTTGGACACACAGTGGGTTGAACACACGGTGGGTTGAACACACGGTGGGTTGAACACACGGTGGGTTGAACACACGGTAGGTTTGACACACGGTGGGTTGAACACACTATGGGTTGAACACACATTAGGTTGAACACACGGTGGGTTGAACACACGATGGGATGAACACACGGTGGGTTGAACACACGGTAGGTTTAACACACGGTGGGTTGAACACACTGTGGGTTGAACCGCCGGTGGGTTGAAAACACGATGGGTTGAATACACGGTGTGTTGAACATACGGTTGGTTTAACACACGGTGGGTTGAACACACGGTGGGTTGAACACACGGTGGGTTGAACACACGGTGGGTTGAACACACGGTAGGTTTAACAAACGGTGGGTTCAACACACGGTGGGTTGGACACACGGTGGGTTCAACACACGGTGGGTTGAACACACGGTGGGTTGAACACACGGTAGGTTTAACACATGGTGGGTTGAACACACGGTGGGTTGAACACACGGTGGGTTGAACACACGGTGGGTTGAACACACAGTAGGTTGAACACACGGTGGGTTGAACACATGGTGGGTTGAACACACGGTGGGATGAACACACGGTGGGTTGAACACACGGTAGGTTTAACACACGGTGGGTTCAACACACGGTGGGTTGGACACACGGTGGGTTGAACACACGGTGGGTTGAACACACGGTGGGTTGAACACACGGTGGGTTGAGCACACGGTAGGTTTGACACACGGTGGGTTGAACACACTGTGGGTTGAACACACACTGGGTTGAACACACGGTCCACGTCCACGTCCACGTCCACGTCCACGTCCAGGTCCAGGTCCAGGTCCACGTCCACGTCCACGTCCAGGTCCAGGTCCACGTCCACGTCCACGTCCACGACCACGTCCACGTCCACGTCCACGTCCACGTCCAAGTCCACGTCCAGGTCCACGTCCACGTCCACGTACACGTCCATGTCCACGTCCACGTTCACGTTCTCGTCCACGTCCACGTCCACGTCCAAGTCCTCCACGTCCGGGTCCACGTCCACGTCCACGTCCCAGGTCCACGTCCACGTCCACGTCCAAGTCCTCCACGTCCACGTCCACGTCCACGTCCACGTCCCCATCCACGTCCACGGCCGCTTCCAAGTCCTCCACGTCCACGTCCACGTCCACGTCCACGTCCCCATCCACGTCCACAGCCGCGGCCACGTCCACGTCCACGTCCACGTCCACGGCCACGTCCACGTCCGCGTCCACCTTCACGTGGACGTGGCCGCGTCCGCGTCCACGTCCACGGCCACGTCCACGTCCGCGTCCACGTCCGCGTCCACGTCCACGGCCACGTCCACGGCCGCGTCCACGTCTACGTCCGCGTCCACGTCCACGTCTACGTCCGCGTCCACGTCCACGTCCGGGTCCACGTCCGCGTCCACGTCCGCGTCCACGTCCGCGTCCACGTCCGCGTCCCCGTCCGCGTCCACGTCCGCGTCCACGTCCGCGTCCACGTCCGCGTCCACGTCCGCGTCCACGTCCACGTCCACGTCCACATCCGCGTCCCTGTCCACGGTCCACGTCCACATCCACGTCCACGTTGACCTAGACGTGGACGCGGACGTTGACGAGGACGTGGACGCGGACGCGGACCTTGACGCGGACGTGGACGCGGACGTGGACGTTGACGCGGACGTTGGACGTGGCCGTGGACGTGGATGCGGACGTTGGAGGTGGACGTGGACGTGGACGTGGACATGGACGTGGACGAGAACGTGGACGTGGACGTGGACGTGGCCGTGGACGTGGACGTGGACGTGGACGTTGACGTGGACATGGATGTGGACGTTGACGTGGACATGGACGTGGACGTGGACGTGGACGTGGACGTTGACGTGGACATGGACGTGGACTTTGACATGGACATGGACGTGGACGTGGACGTGGACATGGACGTGGACGTGGACGTGGACGTGGACATGCACGTGGACGTGGACGTGGACGTGGACGTGGACGTGAACCTGGACGTTGACGTGTACAGGGACGTGGACATGGACGTGGACATGGACGTCGACGTGGACGTGGACGTGGACCTGGACGTGGACGTGGACATGGACGTGGACATGGACATGGACATGGACGTGGACGTGGACGTGGACATGGACGTGGACGTGGACGTGGGACGTGGACGTGGACGTGGACGTGGACGTTGACGTGGACATGGACGTGGACATGGACGTGGACATGGACGTGGACGTGGACGTGGACATGGACGTGGACGTGGACATGGACGTAGACGTGGACGTGGACATGGACGTGGACGTGGACGTGGACATGGTCGTGGACGTTGACGTGGACATGGACGTGGACGTGGACGTGGACATGGACATGGACGTGGACGTGTACATGGACGTGGACGTGGACATGGACGTGGACGTGGACGTGGACGTGGACCTGGACCTGGACGTGGACGTGGACGTGGACGTGGACGTGGACTTGGACGTGGACGTGGACGTGGACGTGGACGTGGACGTGGACATGGAAGTGGACGTGGACGTGGACGTGGACGTGGACGTGGACGTGGACGTGGACGTGGACCTGGACGTGGAGGTGGACGTGGAGGTGGAGGTGGAGGTGGACGTGGACGTGGACGTGGACGTGGACGTGAACGTGGACGTGGACGTTGACGTGGACGTGGACGTGGACGTGGACGTGGACATGGACGTGGACGTGGACGTGGACATGGACGTGGACGTGGACGTGGACGTGGACGTGGACCTGGACGTGGAGGTGGACGTGGAGGTGGAGGTGGAGGTGGACGTGGACGTGGACGTGGACGTGGACGTGAACGTGGACGTGGACGTTGACGTGGACGTGGACGTGGACGTGGACGTGGACATGGACGTGGACGTGGACATGGACATGGACGTGGACGTGGACATGGACATGGTTGTGGACGTGGACGTGGACGTGCACGTGCATGTGCACGTGGACGTGGACGTGAACGTCGACGTGGACATGGACGTGGACGTGGACGTGGACGTGGACATGCACGTGGACGTGGACGTGGACGTGGACGTGGACGTGGACCTGGACGTTGACGTGTACAGGGACGTGGACATGGACATGGACGTGGACGTGGACGTGGACGTGGACCTGGACGTGGACGTGGACATGGACGTGGACATGGACATGGACCTGGACGTGGACGTGGACGTGGACGTGGACCTGGACGTGGACCTGGACGTGGACGTGGACGTTTACGTGGACGTTTACGTGGACGTGGACGTGGACGTGGACGTGGACGTGGACGTGGACGTGGACGTGGACGTGGACGTGGACATGGACGTGGACGTGGACGTGGACGTGGACGTGGACGTGGACGTGGACGTTGACGTGGACGTGGACGTGGACGTGGACGTGGACGTGGACGCGTGGACGTGGACGTGGACGTGGACGTCGACGTGGACGTGGACGTGGACGTGGACGTGGACGTGAACGTGGACGTGGACGTGGACATGGACGTTGACATGGACGTGGACGTGGACGTGGACATGGACATGGACGTGGACGTGGACATGGACATGGACGTGGACGTGGACGTGGACGTTGACGTGGACGTGGACGTGGACGTGGACGTGGACGTGGACATGGACGTTGACGTGGACGAGAACGTGGACGTGGACGTGGACGTGGACATGGACGTGGACATGGACGTGGACGTGGACGTGGACATGGACATGGACGTGGACGTGGACCTGGACGTGGACGTGGACGTGGACGTGGACGTGGACGTGGACATGGACGTGGACGTGGACGTGGACGTGGACATCGATTGTGGCAAACACGATCGTGATGGGCGGTCCATGATCCGAGTAACAATGCTTCACATTTTATACCGGTACGGATTTCGCAGCTTCCCGGGCTCACAAACGCCCTTATATGGGGACGGTTCTTCATGCACCGGGCCCGATTGAAGGCAAAAAGAGCTGGAATCTCATCCCAAGCTATCTGGGATTGTGGCAAACACGATCGTGCTGGGCGGTCCATGATCCGAGTAACATTGCTTCACATATTATACCGGTACGGATTTCGCCGCTTCCCAGGCTCACAAACGCCCTTATATGGGGACGGTTCTTCATGCGGCGGGCCCGTTTGAAGGCAAAAAGAGCTGGAATCTCGACCGAAGGTATCTAGGATTGTGGCAAACACGATCGTGCTGGGCGGTCCATGATCCGAGTAACATTGCTTCACATTTTGTACCGGTACGGATTTCGCATCTTCCCGGGCTCACAAACGCCCTTATATGAGGACGGTTCTTCATGCGGCGGGCCCGTTTGAAGGAAAAAAGAGCTGGAATCTCGTCCCAAGGTATCTAGGATTGTGGCAAACACGATCGTGCTGGGCGGTCCATGATCCGAGTAACATTGCTTCACATTTTGTACCGGTACGGATTTCGCATCTTCCCGGGCTCACAAACGCCCTTATATGAGGACGGTTCTTCATGCGGCGGGCCCGTTTGAAGGAAAAAAGAGCTGGAATCTCGTCCCAAGGTATCTAGGATTGTAGCAAACACGATCGTGCTGGGCGGTCCATGATCCGAGTAACATTGCTTCACATTTTGTACCGGTATGGATTTCGCAGCTTCCCGGGCTCACAAACGCCCTTATATGGGGACGGTTCTTCATGCGGCGGGCCCGTTTGAAGGCAAAAAGAGCTGGAATCTCGTCCCAAGGTATCTAGGATTGTGGCAAACACGATCGTGCTGGGCGGTCCATGATCCGAGTAACATTGCTTCACATTTTATACCGGTACGGATTTCACAGCTTCCCGGGCTCACAAACGCCTTTATATGGGGACGGTTCTTCATGCGGCGGGCCCGTTTGAAGGAAAAAAGAGCTGGAATCTTGTCCCAAGGTATCTAGGATTGTGGCAAACACGATCGTGCTGGGCGGGCCATGATCCGAGTAACATTGCTTCACATTTTGTACCGGTACGGATTTCACAGCTTCCCGGGCTCACAAACGCCCTTATATGGGGACGGTTCTTCATGCGGCGGGCCCGTTTGAAGGCAAAAAGAGCTGGAATCTCGTCCCAAGGTATCTAGGATTGTGGCAAACACGATCGTGCTGGGCGGTCCATGATCCGAGTAACATTGCTTCACATTTTATACCGGTACGGATTTCACAGCTTCCCGGGCTCACAAACGCCCTTATATGGGGACGGTTCTTCATGCGGCGGGCCCGTTTGAAGGCAAAAAGAGCTGGAATCTCGTCCCAAGGTATCTAGGATTGTGGCAAACACGATCGTGCTGGGCGGTCCCTGATCCGAGTAACATTGCTTCACATTTTATACCGGTACGGATTTCACAGCTTCCCGGGCTCACAAACGCCCTTATATGGGGACGGTTCTTCATGCGGCGGGCCCGTTTGAAGGCAAAAAGAGCTGGAATCTCGTCCCAAGGTATCTAGGATTGTGGCAAACACGATCGTGCTGGGCGGTCCATGATCCGAGTAACATTGCTTCACATTTTATACCGGTACGGATTTCACAGCTTCCCGGGCTCACAAACGCCCTTATATGGGGACGGTTCTTCATGCGGCGGGCCCGTTTGAAGGCAAAAAGAGCTGGAATCTCGTCCCAAGGTATCTAGGATTGTGGCAAACACGATCGTGCTGGGCGGTCCCTGATCCGAGTAACATTGCTTCACATTTTATACCGGTACGGATTTTGCATCTTCCCGCGCTCACAAACGCCCTTATATGGGGACAGTTCTTCATGCGGCGGGCCCGTTTGAAGGAGAAAAGAGCTGGAATCTTGTCCCAAGGTATCTAGGATTGTGGCAAACACGATCGTGCTGGGCGGGCCATGATCCGAGTAACATTGCTTCACATTTTGTACCGGTACGGATTTCACAGCTTCCCGGGCTCACAAACGCCCTTATATGGGAACGGTTCTTCATGCGGCGGGCCCGTTTGAAGGCAAAAAGAGCTGGAATCTCGTCCCAAGGTATCTAGGATTGTGGCAAACACGATCGTGCTGGGCGGTCCATGATCCGAGTAACATTGCTTCACATTTTATACCGGTACGGATTTCACAGCTTCCCGGGCTCACAAACGCCCTTATATGGGGACGGTTCTTCATGCGGCGGGCCCGTTTGAAGGCAAAAAGAGCTGGAATCTCGTCCCAAGGTATCTAGGATTGTGGCAAACACGATCGTGCTGGGCGGTCCATGATCCGAGTAACATTGCTTCACATTTTATACCGGTACGGATTTCGCATCTTCCCGGGCTCACAAACGCCCTTATATGGGGACGGTTCTTCATGCGGCGGGCCCGTTTGAAGGCAAAAAGAGCTGGAATCTCGTCCCAAGGTATCTAGGATTGTGGCAAACATGATCGTGCTGGGCGGTCCATGATCCGAGTAACATTGCTTCACATTTTATACCGGTACGGATTTCACAGCTTCCCGGGCTCACAAACGCCTTTATATGGGGACGGTTCTTCATGCGGCGGGCCCGTTTGAAGGAAAAAAGAGCTGGAATCTTGTCCCAAGGTATCTAGGATTGTGGCAAACACGATCGTGCTGGGCGGGCCATGATCGGAGTAACATTGCTTCACATTTTGTACCGGTACGGATTTCACAGCTTCCCGGGCTCACAAACGCCCTTATATGGGGACGGTTCTTCATGCGGCGGGCCCGTTTGAAGGCAAAAAGAGCTGGAATCTCGTCCCAAGGTATCTAGGATTGTGGCAAACACGATCGTGCTGGGCGGTCCATGATCCGAGTAACATTGCTTCACATTTTATACCGGTACGGATTTCACAGCTTCCTGGGCTCACAAACGCCTTTATATGGGGACGGTTCTTCATGCGGCGGGCCCGTTTGAAGGAAAAAAGAGCTGGAATCTTGTCCCAAGGTATCTAGGATTGTGGCAAACACGATCGTGCTGGGCGGGCCATGATCCGAGTAACATTGCTTCACATTTTGTACCGGTACGGATTTCACAGCTTCCCGGGCTCACAAACGCCCTTATATGGGGACGGTTCTTCATGCGGCGGGCCCGTTTGAAGGCAAAAAGAGCTGGAATCTCGTCCCAAGGTATCTAGGATTGTGGCAAACACGATCGTGCTGGGCGGTCCATGATCCGAGTAACATTGCTTCACATTTTATACCGGTACGGATTTCACAGCTTCCCGGGCTCACAAACGCCCTTATATGGGGACGGTTCTTCATGCGGCGGGCCCGTTTGAAGGCAAAAAGAGCTGGAATCTCGTCCCAAGGTATCTAGGATTGTGGCAAACACGATCGTGCTGGGCGGTCCATGATCCGAGTAACATTGCTTCACATTTTATACCGGTACGGATTTCACAGCTTCCCGGGCTCACAAACGCCTTTATATGGGGACGGTTCTTCATGCGGCGGGCCCGTTTGAAGGAAAAAAGAGCTGGAATCTTGTCCCAAGGTATCTAGGATTGTGGCAAACACGATCGTGCTGGGCGGGCCATGATCCGAGTAACATTGCTTCACATTTTGTACCGGTACGGATTTCACAGCTTCCCGGGCTCACAAACGCCCTTATATGGGGACGGTTCTTCATGCGGCGGGCCCGTTTGAAGGCAAAAAGAGCTGGAATCTCGTCCCAAGGTATCTAGGATTGTGGCAAACACGATCGTGCTGGGCGGTCCATGATCCGAGTAACATTGCTTCACATTTTATACCGGTACGGATTTCACAGCTTCCTGGGCTCACAAACGCCTTTATATGGGGACGGTTCTTCATGCGGCGGGCCCGTTTGAAGGAAAAAAGAGCTGGAATCTTGTCCCAAGGTATCTAGGATTGTGGCAAACACGATCGTGCTGGGCGGGCCATGATCCGAGTAACATTGCTTCACATTTTGTACCGGTACGGATTTCACAGCTTCCCGGGCTCACAAACGCCCTTATATGGGGACGGTTCTTCATGCGGCGGGCCCGTTTGAAGGCAAAAAGAGCTGGAATCTCGTCCCAAGGTATCTAGGATTGTGGCAAACACGATCGTGCTGGGCGGTCCATGATCCGAGTAACATTGCTTCACATTTTATACCGGTACGGATTTCACAGCTTCCCGGGCTCACAAACGCCCTTATATGGGGACGGTTCTTCATGCGGCGGGCCCGTTTGAAGGCAAAAAGAGCTGGAATCTCGTCCCAAGGTATCTAGGATTGTGGCAAACACGATCGTGCTGGGCGGTCCATGATCCGAGTAACATTGCTTCACATTTTATACCGGTACGGATTTCGCATCTTCCCGGGCTCACAAACGCCCTTATATGGGGACGGTTCTTCATGCGGCGGGCCCGTTTGAAGGCAAAAAGAGCTGGAATCTCGTCCCAAGGTATCTAGGATTGTGGCAAACATGATCGTGCTGGGCGGTCCATGATCCGAGTAACATTGCTTCACATTTTATACCGGTACGGATTTCACAGCTTCCCGGGCTCACAAACGCCTTTATATGGGGACGGTTCTTCATGCGGCGGGCCCGTTTGAAGGAAAAAAGAGCTGGAATCTTGTCCCAAGGTATCTAGGATTGTGGCAAACACGATCGTGCTGGGCGGTCCATGATCCGAGTAACATTGCTTCACATTTTATACCGGTACGGATTTCACAGCTTCCCGGGCTCACAAACGCCCTTATATGGGGACGGTTCTTCATGCGGCGGGCCCGTTTGAAGGCAAAAAGAGCTGGAATCTCGTCCCAAGGTATCTAGGATTGTGGCAAACACGATCGTGCTGGGCGGTCCATGATCCGAGTAACATTGCTTCACATTTTATACCGGTACGGATTTCACAGCTTCCCGGGCTCACAAACGCCTTTATATGGGGACGGTTCTTCATGCGGCGGGCCCGTTTGAAGGAAAAAAGAGCTGGAATCTTGTCCCAAGGTATCTAGGATTGTGGCAAACACGATCGTGCTGGGCGGGCCATGATCCGAGTAACATTGCTTCACATTTTGTACCGGTACGGATTTCACAGCTTCCCGGGCTCACAAACGCCCTTATATGGGGACGGTTCT